GATTAGAATACCATTAAGTATTTTTTTTTTGCTTGTGTATATGATTTGATTATTTCTGGTTGGTATATACAACTAAAGTATTTTTTTTTTTTTTGTATTCTTTAACATATAACCTTCCTTTGTGTAACACGCTAAGGAATTTTTAGCAGAAGAATGAAAGTGACGTTCCAACAAAAGCCTTTGTCTCTTCATTTTTTTTTTTTTTTTTAGTTAGTTAGTTAGTATATTATTTATCGACGTCTAAATGTTCCACGACATATCACTCATTTACGCAGCTCATTACAATTATTTGATCCACAATCATTTTAGGTAAACGAGTGAAACATAGTAGCTAGGTTCGAGATCCTAATTTTGCAAAAATTTAAATCTAATCTCCAACAAATTTTAAGTCATGTCATCAAACATATGTCAGCCGATTTAACAACCATAACGGTTGACTAACACTCGTTAATTACGATTCCGAATTAAAATCTAAATGTAAAGTTTGGGTATGAAATTCAATATTTTTGAGGTTTGAGTTAGAATTAACCCTTTATATTTGGGGAATTTTACTAAATCTACCACATTTCGAAATGTGGCATTCCAAATCTACCACATTTCGGAAAAGCTTTCGAAATGTACCACATTTCTCTGCCACATGCCTAAAGTCGGACGAAATTGCCTTTGATGGAGACAGAAGTATGTGTCAGATAAAAAGACATGTTGACACTGCGCAGGAAATGATGGAAAGAGAAAATGAACCATCAGCATTTATTGTAGGCAATGATGGTTTATTTTAATAGTTTATCAATTATATAGTTTTGGTCCACGACATTAAATGGCTGCACATTTAGATCTGAGTTTCTTCTCATATGAACTTGTCCCCGATCTAATTCTATTATTCATTTGATCTGAACTTGTCCTCGATCTAATTCTGGTACTCATTCGATATTACTCATTCAAAATCTAAATCTGGGTTTGAAAATAATTCGGAAACCTTAATTAAAAGTGAACTAAAATTGAATAAAAGAAATTGAATACATAAAAAGCAAGTTAGGACATGAAGAAAAAATAAAAACAAAAAACACAATTTGTTGTGGACATTTTGTGACTCCCATTTGATATGAGCTTTTTTTTAGGGGCGATCATAAATTGACCTGTTGTCCGTGTAAACTGACCAATTCATAACTCATTAAAAAAATGTCCGCACGGACAACCCATATGGACACGGTCAAGCCCAATTGTCAGCTCTATCCTCTCCCTCTCTCTCTCATGTTCCTCGTGGGAAAACTACTCTCTACCCTCTCCCTCCCTCTCTCATGTTCCTCGTGGGACAACTACACTCTCGTGTTCCTCGTGTGACACTGACAACTTCTTTTTCTTAATGCAATAATAATATTCCCAGCCTCTAATGTGACATATAATAGAATTTAAGTTTGGTTTAAAAAAAAAACGTGTTTCTTGTTTTGTCTCACATAAGATGGTTGCCAGATTGGGCATGGTTTTGGCCAGAGAATCAAACAAAATATCAATTATTATTTGTTAAATATTAGTGATATCTTCACGATTTTATAAGACTTAACTCCCAATTATTCCTCATAAACATGCATCATGCATGGTTGATGGTTCTCCTTCTCCACGTATAGAATCATATCAAAGAAGATTTCAGGGTGGTCCTTGGATTGTTGTGGCCTAAAGCATACTTAAATAGTATAATTTTCTATATAAAAACTATTGTTAAAAATTTATGAAAAACCAAGTTATAAAATGAAAAGGAAAAACTGTGAAAAGGAAAAAAAATGGTAAAAGAAAAGACTCGAACTCAAGACATGAGTCTAATTTAGACAATACATAAACACCAAACTAAACAAGTATCTTAATAATGTGGATCTAAAAACTTTGTTATATTTTGTGGCGTAAAGCAGATGTTTTGCCTGCTTTATGGGTGGGCTGTGCCTGAAAGATTTCATGAAGATATCAATTATTATTTGTTAAATATTAGTGATATCATGAAAATTTCCATGTTAGTTATATTCGTATTATTTGACCTGTTCAATTATCTTCTTGGTTTGATGCAATTAAGTATTCCTCAGCCTACCAAAAAAAAAAAATTTAAGTATTCCTCATATCTTTTTTTTTAAGTAATAATATCAACCTAATGAACGGTAAAGAAGGAAGAAATTAAATTCCAACAAAAATAAACCACAAACATTGCCGGCTCATATGTTTTAAATAAATTGAATACCCTTTAATAAAAATAAAAAAACAGTGTCGGCTCATATAGGAGGGCGGTGCGACGGCCCGGAGCCCAATATCGTGTTCCAATAATTAAAGAGGCCATTTTAAAATATATTTTAAAAAATGTATTAATAAATTAGATTACAACATAAAAATAAAATTTAGGACCCATAAAATTTTTTATGTGTCGTTTTTTTGTTTTAGTAATTAAATTTTAATAGAAATATTATACAATTTTTTTTTGTAGCAAAAAGTACTAAAAAAAGAAAAATTTAAGAGCCCAATTTTTTTTTTTTGCCTTAAAACCCATAAAAATGTTGAGCCGACCCTGACCATAAACATTGAGGCATGGATCACAAAGAGAGACCTCCGTCAAAAAGGTTATGTAACGTAAAGTTACAAGTTCATTTTTAAAGTAAAAAAAAAAAATTCCAACAAAAATACACCAGAATTAAGCCTTGAAATTCTATGTTTTTTAAACGAGAATCGAACATATATTAACATGGAAATTGCCTATGTTCCCACTAACTATTTATTTGCACAATAAAATTAAAGGTCGTATCTCTACCTTGAAAATTTTGCAACATCAAGTTTGGTCATGCTTCATGCATACTTTAGTTGTTAAACTAACATGTGCTTTACGGCTTCGTATATCTGTATTTGACATTTTACATTATTCATTTTGTTGAAGCTTTATTATGGTATTGACATGGAATTTCTTTAAATATCTTCAAGAAATGGGAAGATTGCCTCTAGACAAGTAAGTTCAACGAGTCATTTGGTGGAACTAGCGGAAACCCTCAAGCCTGCTTCCAAACTTCTATCCATTATTGTTCCTGAAAGTTAGATATATGTTTGTAACAAGACTTCGTTGGCTAGGAGAATGAATATTTTACCACAAAATTGTCAAAAGATATAATCATTCTATTTTGAGAGAACAACGTAAAGGGTACTTGAATTTCATCTGAATTGTTATTTATTTGGATGATAAGCCATATTAAATTTTGCAAGATCAAGCTTAATTAAAAAAAAAAGAAAAAAAAAAGATCAAGCTTAATCTTGTGTTACATGAAGTTCAGGTTTACTCTGGCTTTAGTACTTGCTACTTGAAGTTTTAGCATCTTTTCACTCTGTTTCCAAGTAGTTGACGAGCTCATTCAATGCATTGTATGAGGAGCCTCCACTTCTTACAGAGGCATTGAGCTTCTCCTTTAGAACAAGGGCTCTCTCCCTCATGCTTGCACCTTCATCATCCACAATCAACCTCTTCACAGCTCTCTCAACCTCTCCTCTTTCCACTTCATCTTGAAGCAGAATCCCTATTCTCCAAATACTTTCTATATACAATGCGTTTAACTTCTGCTCACCGTCAGAAGGCCTGCAGATCATTGGAACTCCTTCCGCAATGCTCTCAAGTGTTGAGTTCCATCCACAGTGGCTCCAAAAACCTCCCACTGCAGGATGTGCAAGTACTTCATTTTGCGGTGCCCATTTCACAACGAATCCTTTTTCTGAGACCATCTTAGTGACTTCCTCTGGCAATGGCTTCAAACCAGGTCGGATGACCCATAGGAAAGGTTGGTTGCTATCACACAATCCATTAGCCACCTCCAAAACTTCTTTGGTTTCCATTTCAAATATGCTTCCCATGCTTATGTATAAGACTGACCTTGGTTTCTGCTTGTTCAACCATTCAATGCAGCTCCTGTCTTCTTCTAGTAAACTAGACCTTGTTGAAGCTGTAATGTGAAGAGGACCCAATGGATACACTGGAATTCGAAATTCTTGTTGCATCAATGTCAGAGACGAGCTCTCTAAACAGCTCGCCGTGTTGATGATAGCACCACAAGCCGATCTTTTGTTGATTATTTCCCTACAGAGCACCAAAAATCTTTCTAATGGCCCAAATCCTCCAATTGGTAGGTCTTTAAAACTTACTGGATGCAAGTTTTCCACTACCTTGTTTTGCAAGTCAGGATCTACAAGTCAAAAAACAATTCTGTTTGAGCAAAAGGACTTGATGCAAAATGAGTAATAAGCTATTTTTGGATACCTTCCATGTCGATCAAGAACTTCTCGGCATTAAGTTTACTCAAAACACAACAGCAAACTTTATGAGTAGCACTTGTAGTGCTGAAGATGATACTTGGAATCTTGAACTCCTTAGCTGCAGCTCCACAGAAGTACAGAAGATCGTCGTAGATGATACATGCTATATCATTACCTTGTTGTATCAACAGTTGACTTATACATTCCTTGAAGCTTGCCTCACTGGTTTTGTTGAGCTTTAGCAGAAACTCGACTGGTCCGAATGCCTCGATCTCAGACACAGACACTTGCAAGCTTTCTGGTATGGTGATAAATTGAAAACCAGGAAAGTGCTGTGAAGAGCTTATTCCATTGGACTCTCCTAGAGCCACTGTGATTGAGAAGCCTTTCAAGTTAAGGGCTTGACCAAGTTGCATCATTGGAGTGATATGTCCTTGTAATGGAAATGGTACCAACACTATCCTTCTCTTCTCTGTTTTTTTCTCCATTTCTTGGCTCTCTCTTTCTTGCCCTTATTTCTCAATGAAAAAGATCTATAAATAAGTGACCCAATTATTACTAAAATCCAATTCACACACAATCTTCCAGAGATGGTTAATGTCATTTGTTTGTTCACAAGAAACATTATACATACCAATTCACTAACTTTATATCTCTCTAGCTTCCTTTCTTTTAGTTGGTGGTTATAATCACATAGCCATATAGCGCAATGACATCCAATTGTTCCCAAGATTATAGCCGAAGAAACTTTCTTAAAAATCACAAACTGTGTTTACTAATGAAACAAGTTGATACGTCTAAAACAAAAGCTTGCAAACAATCTAGAATCATCAACTTCGTTGCTCCACCATTGTTTTCCAGCTACTGTAGTAGTCTCAAAGAAACGCTCGCAATCGATCAGGAATCATCAGCTTTGTAGCTCCATCTCTATTGTCAAGATTTAACTCCACCAAATTTGGCATGGCTTCTTCTTCAATCTCCAACTCATCTAATCTTTTTACGATCAATTCAAGTTTCCTCAGCCGACAAAAACCTTGTGCGTTGATGCACATTTTCGCTCCCGGGTAGCCACAAGAATACAAGACCAGATCTTCTAGACGTTGTAGTTTTTGTAGAGCAGGCATTGGGTCTTTTTGGAGATTTACTATAAGTGTAAGGGACTCAAGACTGGGAAAGATCAAATCCATGTCTCTTGGAAGTCTTGTTATGTTGCAATGCAGTGTCAACTCAACAAGGAGTTCGAACCGAACTGTTTCTTCGGAAAATAAGCTGAAGGTCACTACTTCAATCTTCAAGACACGAAGATTTTTCAGTTTCGATAAGGAAACTAAGTCTAAAGGAACTCTTATTTGGTCGTTCAATATGTGGAACTCGTAGATCTCCAAGTCCCGAAGATTTATGAGTAACTCATGCTTTAGTTTGCTCCAGCTGTAGGAGGAGATAGATTTCAAGGTCTGAAGGTTCACCGCGTCGCCTATTAGCAATTCTCCGATGAATCTTCCAATGAGATGCCTTAGTGATATGAGCTTACTTAGATCAGTATTTCGCTCGAAGGAGTTGCCTGATGCATCTAGTGTCTGTAGAAACCGTAAGTTGGAGATGAAATCTGGTAAATTGTTCACAACGGTATCGGCGATCCCAAGGTACCTCAAGTGGACTAAACCTCCGATCACATCTGGTAAACTCCAAGGGCTATATCCTTGACAGATAAAATGAAGTCCTCCAAGATTAAGCACTCGAAGTAACTTCAGTTTCAAAGTAATGGTTTCAACGTAAGTAATGTCGCTTCTCCATTCACCGAAAAACAAGAAGGATCGCATTTGTTTGTTCACACGTCTGTCGCACAAGTAGTTGTTGTCCATAAGATGGTGAACCACTTCCCTCTACAAGTAGTAGAAGAATGTTGCTCGTTGTAAACAGTTACAAATTTGAGCTTTTTGGCTTTCTTGATAGCCAATTCTCTTATAAGATCATGGATTCTAAAAGACATTAGTTTCCCTCTCTTTCTTTTCACGACTTCCACTAAACTTCTATCAATCAGTTCTTCGATATAATACCGTGCCACATCTTCCATCATCATCTCTTTGTCATCTTGTATAAACCCCTCTGCTACAAGTAATTGTATCAATTTCTCTACGTCGATCTCATAGTCCTCTGGGAAGACGCTAAGGTATAGAAAGCAGAGTTTTAACTCATTTCGCATCTCCTTGAAGCTTAGATCAAACAAAGTGGAGACATGAATGTGATCATCCTTTACGCGCAAATTGTCCCACACATCTTTCCACTCGTTCGGCCTCTTCCTAGACATTAGCCCAGCAAGAACGACTGTTGTAAGCGGTAATCCACCGCATTTTTGAACCATTTCTTTTCCGTTTTTCTGCAGTTCTTGATCGACCTTTACGATATCTCTAAATGCTTTCTTCTCAAACAAGTTCCAGCTTTCTTCAAACGTTAAGAACCTTATGTTATGGGTGTAGACTCTTTGGTCTGCGCCTTCAGCCACGGCTCTAATACGTGTAGTGATGATGACTCTGCGTCCTTCATAGTTGCAAGGTAAAGCTCTCTTCAAGCTCTCCCACGCTTCTCTCTCCCATATATCATCTACCACCACCAGATATTTTTTTCCTTGTAAAATATCATTAAGGTAAACTTCTAACTCCTCCTCCGCCATCTTTTCAAGCTCTACCTCAGATGTTTCTCCCAATGATCTTATGATTCTCTTAAGAATATCTCCTGTTTTACATTCTCGAGAAACATAAGTCCATACGCGATATTCAAATCTTTCCTTCACATAGCTAGAGTTATAAAGCTTCCTCGCAAGAGCAGTGTTTCGGAGACCTCCCATGCCGAATATGGAGATCATATATGTCTTGTTATCCCCATCATCGTCAAGAAGATTTGTCAAAAGAACCTTAGCATCATCTTCCAAATCAACTACACGCTCTTCCTGATCATCAGATCGAGGACACCGAAGCTCCATCACCCTTGAAGTAGTCGCTACTGCTCGATGCTCACTAAAGTTTCCTATGCCATACATCTCCCGCTTGCGAATAACATCCAACATTCTTCGTTTGAGGGTTCTGATATCATCAACTATGTTGTACGCATCCTTCTTCTCGCCTGTTATGTTGGTCGTCCATCTCTTGAGGCCTCGCCTTTGTGGTCTTTTTTCGAGTTTCAGAAAATAGATGTCCAAAACATCTTCGACATCATAAGCGATGTCTAAAACCAGTTTTGTCCACTCTTTTGAGACCTCATCTTCTCTGTCACAAGCTTCAACATCCTTGAGATAAACTTGGATGCACGTCATTACGTCAACTCTGTCTTTAGCTCCTCTAGATCTTCTTTGACTCCAATCAGCATTGGCTCTTCTTCGATGAGATAGCTGCCGATCTTTCCCACAACGAACTCCGTGATCGCATCTACCATTGCAACAGGATCGAGTTGATGGATCTCAAAATATGGACAAGATTGAAGATATGCTTTGTTTGATTGTTTCCTTGTATCAACCTTTCAAATTTCAAAAGCCTTGGCACTGGACTTTGTGGATGTTTGTCTTTTATGTTTGAACAAGTTTTATCGCCTCATAATATTCTATGAGCACTATGCTCTGTTGGAAATTTTAAAAGAACTCGAAGTAGACGTAATACCAATATAAACTCTCAAATGTCAACGATTTATACGATTTTTGTGAAAGTTTCAATCTTTTTCATAAAAGACAAAATCTAAACATATATAGAGCAAAATACAAGTGGTAACTCAAACTACGTAAACACTTTGTGATGGAAATAATGTGAATCGAAAAATCAAGAAAATATAACGAATTTCTATATTAGAAAAAGAAGCTCAAAAAAAGTACTAGAAATATGTCTTGTTGTGACAGATTTGATCCATCCCTCAATGTTTCTGGTATACAGAAAGAAAGGCCTTTGAGGATTAAAAATGCAATGGTCTTTCTTTACAAGATCAAGCTTGATCTATAAAAATCAAGTTTTATCATTTATGTTACAGAAGTTCTTCAGGTTTACTCTGTTTTCAAGAATTGCTATACTCTGTTTCTATGTAGTTGACGAGCTCATCCAATGCATTGTATGAGGAGCCTCCACTTCTTACAGAGGCTTTGAGCTTATCTTTTAGAACAAGGGCTCTCTCCCTCATCCCTACACCTTCTTCATCCACAATCAACCTCTTCACAGCTCTCTCGACCACTCCTCTTTCTACTTCACCTTGAAGCAGAATCCCTATTCTCCAAACACTTTCTATATAAATTGCGTTTAACTTTTGCTCACCATTAAAAGGTCTGCAAATCATTGGAACTCCTTCCGCAATACTCTCGAGTGTTGAGTTCCATCCACAATGGCTCCAAAAACCTCCCACTGCGGGATGCACAAGTACTTCATTCTGCGGTGCCCATTTCACAATGCATCCTCTTTCTGAGACCATCTTACTAACTTCCTCTGGCAATGACTCTGTACCGGGTCGGATTACCCATAAGAAAGGTTGGTTGCTATTGTATAATCCCCAAGCCATCTCCAATACTTCCTTGGTTTCCATGTGACCTATGCTTCCTACGCTTATGTATATGACCGACCTCGGTTTCTGCTTGTTCAGCCATTCAATGCAGCTCCTGTCCTCTTCCAGTAAACTAGACGTCGCTGAAGCTGTAATGTGAAGAGGGCCTAAGGGATACACTGGAACTCTGAGTTCTTGTTGCAGCCATGAGAGAGACAAGCTCTCTAGACAACTCGACGTGTTAATTATAACAGCGGAAGCTGTTCTTTTGTTAACTACTTCTGTACAAATCTCCAAAAATCGCTCCAATGGCCCCATTCCTGAAGTTGGTAGGTCTTTGTATTTCAATGGATATAAATTTTCCACCATCTTGTTTTGCACGTCAGGATCTGTAAAGTTAAAAAACCTCTGTATGAGTGAAAGAACGGTTTTCGGAATAGGTAAAGAGTTATTTTTGTGTACCTTCCATGTCGATCAAGAACTTCTCGGCGTTGAGTTTGCTTAAAACACAGCAGCAAACATGATTTGTAGCACTGCCAGTGGTGAATATGACACTAGGAATCTTGAACTCTTTAGCTGCAGCTTCAGAGAAGTACATGAGCTCGTCGTAAATGATACATGCAATATCATTTCCATGTTGAAGCAACAACTGAGCTATACAGTCTTTGAAACTTTCCTTGCTTGTTTTGTTGAGCTTAACCACAAACTCAACTACTCCGAGTGCGTCATGTTGAGAAATTGGTACAGTATCTGGTATGGTGACAAATTGAAAACCAGGGAAGTGTTGTGAAGAACTTACTCGATTAAAAGCTCCGAGAGCGACGGTAATTGAGAAGCCCTTCAAGTTAAGGGCTTGACCAAGTTGCATCATTGGAGTGATATGTCCTTGTAATGGAAGTGGAACCAATACTATCCTTTTCTTCTCTGCTATTTTCTCCATTTCATAAACCATCTATCTCTCTGTTCTCTATCTTTCTATCTCCTTTTGTGTCTCAAATAAAATTAGTAAATGCCAACTAGTCAATTACTTAGCTGTGGAGATAATGGTTGACACATCACTTTCTTGGTAAAGAAGATCTTGTCACATGCAATATCATTATTAAACTAAAGCCTTTTGTCTCGGATCTGTTGACCTAGCTTTGTTGCTGTGAAGATGAGATTAGTATACCATTAAGTTCTGGTTGACCCAGCTTTGTTGCAGGATTTGAAGATGAGATTAGTATTATTTTTTTCTGGTGTATATGATTTGATTATTTCTGGTTGGTATATACAACTAAAGTATTATTATTTTGTATTCTTTTAACATTTAACCTTCCTTTGTGTTCGAGAGCCACACGCTAACAAACATTTTACCGAATGATGAAAGTGACATTCCAACGAAAAGCTAGGTCTCTCTTCCTTTGTTATATAGTTAGTATAGTCATATAAGTTATTGACATCTAAATCCCCCAAGTTTATAGCATTATTGTCGGGTCTTTAACATTTGATTGGTTTGAGTTTTTTTTTTTTTCCTAGGTGGCCTGCATCTGATTGAAAACATTGCTGCTTTATCTGAGAACCTTTAAGTGTACGTCCATCTATTCTTGTGACAACCTCAACTATTTTCCTTTCTTCTCCTGCAAGCAATCTCGTTTCTTCATCATCTTTTGCTGATAACAATGCAATGTATGCTTAACAAAAAACCAATGCAATGTATAACCAAGAAGGGAAAAATACAAATACCAAAAAAATTAAATAAAAAAAACACTTCACAAAAACAATGCAATGTATAACCAAGAAGGGAAAAATACAAATACCAAAACGAATAAAAAAAAATAAAAAAAAAAACACTTCACAAAAACAATGCAATGTATAACCAAGAAGGGAAAAATACAAATACCAAAACAAAAACAGAGAAAAAAAAAAAAAAAAAAAAAAACACTTCCCAAAAACAATGCAATGTATAACCAAGAAGGGAAAAAAAAAAACACTTCACAAAAACATTTTTTTTTTCTTTTTTCTCATAAACTTTTTAGCAATCACAAACATCAAATAGTCTCATTAGCTTCTTTCTTTCAGCTAGCATCGTCCCATTTTGCTTCATATTGTTTTTTGCTGGTATATAATTAATGATTCAAATGGATCATAAGTCATCATCTTCGTGGAAGAAGCCCATTAATAAGCGTATTCATCAATCGATTAGGAATCATCAGCTTCGTTGTTCCGCAACCCAAAATCAGCCTTATTAAACTAGGCATGGCCTCTTCTTCAATCCGCAACTCATCAAAACTTTCCATGAACATTTCAAGATTCCTCAACCGACCAAAACCCTGTGCACTGATGCTCATGATCTTCCCTCCCGAGTAACTACAATCTTTCAAGACCAGATCTTCCAGTCTAGGTAATATCTGCAAAGCAGACATTGAGTCTTCCTCGAAAGTTATTCCGACAAGTGTCAGAGACTCAAGAGTGGGAAAGTTCACATCCACTAACCCAATTGTCGTTTTTGATTTCGACGATAACTTGAAGTTTCTCATTTCGAGCTTGAGGACACGGAGATTTTTCAATTTAGAGAAGGAAACCAAGTCTAACGAAACTGTTCTCTGGTCTACCCAGTTAGAGTCGTCGTAGATCTCCAAGTCCCGAAGATTTATGAGTAACTCATGGTTCAGCTTGCTCCAGCTGTAGGAAGAGATAGACCTCAAGGTCTGAAGGTTTACTCCGTCGCCTATTAGACATTCTCCCACAAATTTTCCAATGACATGCCTCAGTGTTGTAATATTACTTAGATCGGTCGTGTCCTGGAAGAGCTTATGGCCTGATGCATTTAGTGTCTGTAGAGACCGTAAATTGGAGATGGAAGCTGGTAAAATGCTGACATCTATATCACCGATCCCTAGATACCTCAGGTGGATTAAATCCCCGATCACATCTGGTAAAGTCGTATGGGTATAAAACTCACTATAAAAAGAAAGCCTTCCAATATCTAGCACTCGAAGTAGCTTCAGTTTCAAGTTTGTGGTCTGGACAATACCCCCTCGTTCTCCGATGATTAAGAAGGATCGCATCCGTTTGTTTACACTTCTGTCGTACGGGAAGCTGTTATTAATAAGATGAAACACTTCCCTTCTGCAAATAGCAGAAGAATGATGCTTCTCGTTGTATATATTTACAAATTTAAGCTCTTTAGCTTTCTTGATAATCACGTCTCTCAGAAGATCATGGATTTTGCAGGACATCACTTTGCCTCGTTCTATTCTTTCAGCTTTGACTAGGCTTCTATCTATCAGCTCGTCGATATAATATCGAGCCATGTCTTCCATCATCATCTCTTCATCCTCTTGTATAAATCCTTCTGCTACAAGTAAGTGGATCAATTTCTCTGCATTAATCTCATAGTCCTCTGGGAAGATGCTAAGGTACAGAAAACAGAGTTTGGACTCATGCCGCAAATCCTTGAAGCTTAGATCAAACACAGTGGAAACAAGATTGGAGTCATCCTTTAGACGTCTCCATAAACTAGCACACACCTCATGCCACTCGTTTGTCCTTTTCCTAGACAAAATCCCAGAAAGCACGACTATAGCAAGCGGTAATCCACCGCATTTTTGAACCATTTCTTTTCCAGTTCTCTTCAGATCCTCATCGACCTTTTCAATATTCCTGAATGCTTTCTGTTCAAACAATGTCCAGCTTTCTTCAAACGTCAAGAACCTTAACTTATGGGCGTAGACTGTCCCATCCACGCCTTCAGCTAGTGCTCTGATACGCGTAGTGATGATGACTCTACTTCCTCCTTGATTGTACGGTAACGCTCTCTTCAAGCTCTCCCACGCTTCTTGCTCCCATATATCATCCACGACCACCAAATACTTTTTCCCTTCTAGAAGACCGTGAAGGTAAACTTCAAGTTCCTCCTCTGCAAACTTTATGATCTTCTCCAACTCTTCCCCTGAAGTCATTCCCAAAGATCTAATGATTCTCATAAGTATATCTCCAGTTTTATACTCTTGAGAAACATAGGTCCACGCACGGCAATCAAATCTTCTCTTCACATCCCCTGAGTTGTAAAGCTTCCTGGCAAGTGCAGTTTTTCCGAGACCTCCCATACCGAAGATGGAGATAATATGCCTCTTGTCCTCCTTATTATCACCAAGAAGCTTTGCCAAAAGAATCTTAGCATCATCTTCCAAACCAACTACTAACTCTTCCTGATCAACAGATCGAGCACGCCCAAGCTGCCTAACTCTCAAGCTTGAAATATTCCCTCCTCCTTGAGGCTCTTTTAAGCCTCCTATACCATAAGTCTCCCTCTGGCGAGTGATATCCAAGATTCTTCTCTTGAGGATTCTGATATCACAACCTATGCTGTACGCATCTTTTGTCTTGCCTATTTTGTTGGTCAATCTCGACAAGCCTCGTCTCTGTGATCTTTCTTCAACTTTCAAGAAATAGGTGTCCAAAACATCCTCGATGTCATAGGCGATATCTAAAACAAGTTTTGTCCACTCTTTTGAGACCTCCTCTTCTCTTTCTCGAGCTTCAACATCCTTAAGATAACCATGGATGCACGTCAACTCCGTCTTCAGCTCCTCTAGATCGTCTTTGACTCCAATCAACATCGACACTTCATTGATAAGATAGCCACCGATCTTTTTCAAAACGAACCCAGTGATAGCATCTACCATCTCAACAGAATCAAATTGAAAGATTTCAAAATATGGACAAGATTTAAGTTTTGTTTCGTTTCCTAATGTCAACAATTTCAAGTTTTCGAAAGCCTTTGACACTTGACTTTGTGTATGTTTTGTTTTGACGACGTGTGATCAAATTTTATCGGTTCGTAATATTTTATGGGCACTATCCCCCGGTTGGTCATTTTTAAAGAAGAATGACGCAGACGTGATACCAATATACATTTTCATTTGTCAACTATTCATACTATTTTTATTTGTTGATACTTAAAGTTTCAAATTTTTCCTACAAAAAAAAATCGTATATTTACAAAGTATCGTAATTAATCTGAAAGTTTGACAGTTAGAAAATCATTGTGTCAAATATGTCTCAAATTTTGGCTCAGATTTTTGTAAGTGTTAAAAGTTTGGAGATAGTTGCCGATCTTTCCCACAACAAACCCTGCAATCGCATCTACCATATTCTCAGTATCGAGGTTGAATCCACGGATCTCACAGAGTCACAGTAAGCACAAGATTAAAGATATGTTTTGTTTCCTTGTGTAAACTTGACTTGAGATATGTTTTCTTTCCTTATGTCAACTTGACTTGGGACGTTGACTTGTTGATATTTGATGAAATCTTATCCTCTCCTATAATTATTTCGGACCAACTATGCATAGTTTGTAACTATGTCCACAATATTCCAAGTAGAAAAGTCGGACCAATATAAATTCTCATTCTCAATCCTCAACTTGTCGTACTATCTTTCGTGGAAGTTTCATTCTTTCATATGTATGTTGAAATATGCGTCTCACATTTTGGTTCAGATTTTTGTTGTGTTAAAAGTGTAGGAGTTTAGAGTCTATAGCAAGTTAATATGAAATATTCGTCGCAATTAGGAAAAGAAAAGGTGTCAAATTTAAAATACAAAGCAAAGCAAATAATTCTAGGTGACAATTCAACAAAAAGGATCTATTAAATAAATTCTTATGTGCTTGACATTTTTTTGGTCTTACATGTGCCCATAAAATTTTATTAGTTAGAAGAATTTAACTCTTAAGAAATAAAATCTAAATAATCATCGGAAAATATGCAACTTTACTCAAAAGATAAAAGAAGGAACCATTTTCAGGAATACTCATAACAAAAAAAGCTCAAATAGTGTCGCTAACGTACACTTTTAACTTCAAACAATGAAGTTTACGAAGAAGAAAACTCTTTCCCGAATCTTAGCACAACTCAGCAACGTAAGCAAACACTAATATTAAGCAATTATTGAAAAACCCACAAAAGAAAAGGAAAAAGGAGAAAAATAATAGATCCTTAGAAAGAAAATAGAAAGCCTAAGGTGGGTTACATAAACTTACTTCTCCCATTACCTTAATACCTCTCTCCAAACCGGAAGAACAGAGCACCAGTTCCGTTGTTGTGATCTATAGCATACTCAGCTCGGACCAAACCGAGTTTCACACCTGCACCGTAGGATGAACCCTGCCCCGTTCTCCTGTAGACTGCTGTAGGGTTTCCCTTCACGTCCTTTGAGCTTCCTAAATCATTTCCATGCTCAACAAAGGCGTAGACATGAGTGTTCTTCACAGGTATTCTGATCTCAGCACCCACCTGCAATCCATGAAACCAATTAGACACACATTTTTGTCAGCTTTAGAAGAAAAGACTGTTTTTGTTTCGTGTGTTTGTTGTATTACCTCGGCAATGTTTCTAGCAGCGCCGAGCTCTCCCATGTTGTAGCCACGGACAGAGTACGGACCACCAAGGACAAAAGCATCGTAGCTTGGAAGGTCGCCAACGCAGCCTCCGTAATGCCCATGGAGGACTAGAACCGGTGGTGGTGACTTACCAGCCCCTTCTTCTACTTCCCGCAGCTGAATGAATCTTGTCATGGTTAACTGGTGGCGGTTGAAGAACGGGAATTTGCTCCCAATACCCAGTCCCTGATCAACCTGTGATTTGCAAATACATTGTGTAAAGCTTACAGAGTATACAGATGACTCATAATTATAATCTCATTTGATCATTGGGAAAGCAAACCTGAAAGACAGTCCTCTGTCCAACAACTGCCCCATTAACAAATTTGGTAGTGTCACGGGTGATGTTGGCTTGTAGAAAAGCCATTCGATCAATACCAGTACCGCTGAGAGTTGTTGGAGGTCCATCAGCACTGATTCCACCGCTAGGTAGTAGTCTCTGACCATTTGCAGCAATGTGACTGCTTTCATCTCGGGTTGTTATCTCCTCCATCACAAGTCCATATGTAAACTTACTCTGACGGGTGAAGTTCTGCATGAAAATTTGTTTCAGTTAGGTGTTTGTAGGACAAAACAGGTCGATTATGGCACTGAGTATCAGCAAGCTTACCTCAGTTATATTAGCTTTCACACCAGCTCGATCAACCCAAATTGGTGGCACTTCCTCAACACCGGGTCCTCCAGTGAATACTGGGCTAAGTTTGCGGCTGTTGAAGCAGCTCGTTTTGAATGTTCGATTCCGAGGATTGTAAACACCATCCAGATACGGGTGCACATACTCAAGCTTAAATGAAAGATCATCCTGAGGAAAAAATGTAACATAAGGTTTGTGCATAGCACATAGAAAAACAGAAATAGATGGATGGTATCAACCGAAAAGTTGAACCAGAGATGTATCAATCATGTAATCTTATCAAATGTACCTGAGGATTCAAGAAGTTGCTAGTGGTCACTGAACCCATGAGAGACCTATTAAGACCCTGGAGGTTTCGATGCTCGAAAGTAACAGACCCACCTGGCTGGAATGAAGCCTGATGCATATAAACAATGACATTCAGACTCAATGAAACTTCTCAAATTTTACAATCCATACTTATTCCAGTAAGGAAGGATTCATACCAGTGTGGGAGCTCCTCCACGCCCAGGAACAATACTCCATTCTGTACTGACTTCAGCTGACTTCTGTTCTAGCTCCTTAAGCTTGATCTCAACAATAATGCCCCCTTCATTTTTCTCATCTGGGCGTGGATTGACTTCAATGTTAGAGAACAGCCCCAATGAGTTGATGTTCCTAAGAGCTTGTTTCCCAGCTTCAATGTTGAAAACATAGCCTTGGCGAAGCTGTCAGCATAACATCAACGAAACATAGATACCATCATTAAAACTAACATAACAAATGAGATATATCATAACATGTCTGGAATATAAAACATTTGTACGGTGAGTTGAGTTCATTGAAGCGATTAAACCTTTTACATCCATCAGACTTAAATAGCAAGTTCGAGTTAAAAGTCTGTCAATTTTTTCCTGATATATCAGTCTATAACATAACTACACTTTCGTCATCATCCTGTACCAACGAGACCATCAAATTTACGGCCAGAATCATGATCACATCAACAACGAACTAAACATAACTAATGACACATCTAACATAGCATAACTTGAGACACATACCTGTTTAGGCAATTCCCTGCGCACCACAGGAACTTGAGTGTTACCTTCAACCACATTACCAAGCTTATCTTGAAACTGAATAACCAGCTGAGTTATATCACCTTCCACAACTTCACAAACAACCTCCTTAGTATTCAAATTCCCAAAATTCACAACTTGAGCACAAGCATACCCTTCATCATGGTACCATTTCTGAACACGGTCCCTAATCCTTTGCAAAAGCCTGGCACTCACTTTCCCTTGGTCCCTCAACATCTGCATAACCTCACCATACACAGGTGCAGGCAACAAACAAGGCCGTGCCCTATCAATTCTCCTCTTGTAATCCTTCTCCAAGCTCCTGTAATACTCAAGCTTCTCTTTATCAGTCATATCTGAATCCATCTCAATCGGTTTCGACTGCACCATTAACCCAACGTTGATACATCTAAACCTATCAGCAGATTGCCATGTACTCTCAGCAAAGGAGATTGTAACACCTAGGGTTCCATCAGGTTTCGTTTTCCCTTCCAAATCAACTTTCTCAAACATTCCACAAGTAGCTAGGGTTTCAAGCTCCTTCTGCAATTGAGCTTTAGTGTAAACTCCACCAGGACGAATCGAGACCATCTCGAAGAAGGAATCTTCAGTACCAATTGTGGTTTGTCTCCGTCGATCAAAGAACATAATATCAGAGACCTTATACTTCTTGAAACCACTGAGCTTGTTCAATTGCACAACGATATTCGCCGGTAAACCATGAGAATCCCAATCCGGTGATTGTTCTTCATCAGCAACCGCCGGAGCAGGAGCAAACAATTTCCCCCAAAATCCACCATCATTTCCATCTCCACCACCGCCTCCACCACCAAATCCACCGGAATTCCCATCTCCTCCTCCTCCACCGCCACCGGTCAGAACCGACGGAAGATTCGAGATTCGGAATAGAAAGAATGACGCAGCGGAGGAGACTGAGGCTACGGCTAGAGGTTTAGCTAGGTTTTTAAGGAGAGAATCCTTTGAGGAAGTCTCTGTATCTCGGTTAGGTAAGCTACTGCTGCATTTTATCGATGGAACGCGAGGAGATGGTGAGGAGATGCGAGGGAGGCGAGACGAGGAAGGAGATAGAAATTTCCGACGAGAAGAGAGAGAGGTGGAAGCGGTGGAGCTAGTTGCCGTCGGGATAAGCTGCCCGTTGACGGAGAAGGCGGCCATGGGCGGAGAAGATAAGGTTTTAGAGAGAAGAAGAAGCAAGTGAAGATTTTTGGCTTCGGCGAAAGCCAAATTGTACTTTTGGGTTTTAAGCAGGTAAAGAGAGACTTCCTCTAAGACTACATTCCGTTTTATTTATTTAAAAGAGAACTCTCTGCCGTTTTACGTAGTTAGAAACAGCATGCAGTTCCAGTGAGGGAATGCAAAACTGTCGAGAAACATTGTGGGACATTTCAAAAATTTAGAGTTTGAACTTAGAAACAATGCAGGTTTGTCTCTGTATTTCACATTCGTTGGAGTTATATATATGCTTTGGACTAACCTTGAGCTTTTTAAGTTGGATTTGAACTAATGTTTAAGTGTGTTCTTTCTTTTTCTCACATAGTCGTAATATGTTTGGTCATTAAAGTTCAGAGACAAGTCTTGCTTAAGTTTTTTTAAAAGAATTTCTTTGTTATTTATGGTTCCATTTTTCTCTAGAAAACTCTATAAATGTGAGTCCTATTATTCAGCTCAAAACGTCAATTTCTCAGGCAAAGAAATTGTCTTCTCTTTATGCTTCTCCAATAAGTGACCATGACTATTTTAAGCATTTTTTCTTATGGTTTGTCCAAGAACCTCGGAGAAACAAGATTCGTGGACATGCACCTTTTCTTGTATTATATGTATCTTATGTTGTTTTCTAAGGATCAGAGTTCCGAAACAGAAGATCTACAAGACTTTTGTGTTTCTCAAATGTCGCGTCAACTAGACCCCGTCGCTGAGCTCGAAAGCTTAAAAACACATGTTGATCATTCTGGAAATCCTAGCTTCTCAACACTTAGCCAGCGTCACCAATGTAAGTAGATCTCTCCAAGAAATGATCCATTTTGTTTTCTTCTCAGTGGTCTGATTTGATGTTCTTGGACGCAAAATCTTGTTTTAAAACGTACCTGTTATTTTCCTTACTTTTTTCAGCTGGTGAAGCTTCAAAAAGGTCACCTTCTGGTTCACCAAGAAAAGAAAATGAAGGAGAACATTCTCACCATAAGAAATCTTTGTTCTCCAAAATGAAGGATAAGGCGAAAAAACTGCAGCACAGTCTCAGCACCAAGAAGAGACATGATGAAGAAGGTGATGCAACCATGTCACCGTTTAGCAGATCCGAAGAACATGAAGTTAGAGAAGGTGTTTATGCGTCATTGTCACCACGTGACAAGTCGAAAGACCGTAAAATCAGAGAAGAAGGAGGAGAAGAAGAAGAAGATCCTGAATATCTTGGAGCTCCAAGTAAATCAAATTAAGAAAAGCTGCATAAGTAACAACCATCTTCTTTGGAATTGATTAAGACTGATCAATCTTCTTGTGTTATATTTCCAGTGTATGAATCAAAGAAGGCACCTGAAGAGTTAAAGGAGACCGCGAGGCAGCATCCCCGGGAAAATCCTGTGATCACTGAGACAAATGTCTTGTCTGTACTCCCAGCCAAACAGGACGCTGAACAAGAACAAAAAGATTGTACTGGTTCCAACACAGAACATCATCCTGTGATCTCTGAGAAGAATGTTTTATCTGATGTCAAGCAAGATAAGCCTGCTGATTCTGACACAACAACAATAGTAACAGAATCGCCTGAGAAGACAAGGAAAGAGTGCACAAGCCAGCAGGAACCTATTAGTCCAAGCAAGACGGTAACAGAAACTGTGACAGAGAAGCTAGCACCTGCTTATGCTAAAGTCTCTGACGCAACTCAAGCTATAACTAAAAAGATTCAAGATATGGCTTTTCCAGAATCATCACAGCCAGAAGAAGAGGTAAATGATGTTGCGGAAATCAACACTGCCGGAACTAACCAGCCCACTGGCTTCAATACTAAGGTACTATAAATTTTCATGTGTTTGTGCATTTTAGGTAAATGCATAAATCATCTTTGGTTGTAACAATGTGGCAATCAGGTGTGGGACAAAGGGGTATCAATGAAGGAATACATATCGCAGAAGTTTGAACCTAGCGAAGACGATAGAGAACTTTCTCGAGTGATATCTAAAGCTATTAGTCCTCGTAAAGGTTCTTCTCAGGCTTCTAGTTTTGGTGCAGCAACAACCATGGTACATGCTCCAAATTCAGCAGACAACAAAGCTCCCCTTTTAGCCAACACAAATGAAAGTGAGTTCCTCTTTTAGTCCTCAACTATAACAATTTGACAAACCTGCATTTGAAGTCTAATACATTTATTCTGCTGCAGTTGTTGAAGAAGAAAATCATGGGAAGATACTACAACCAAACTAAAGAACAGAGAGTGTTTCTTTAATCTGTGTATTGTTTACAAAGCCTCTATGTAAGAAAGAGGCTTTCTATTTTAATCCACTTTTTTCCCCTATCAGTTATGTTATCATACCAAAACCAAGATTCATTTTGTCTGAAGTCTGTTGTATACATAAGAGATTCTAATACATCCTTTTTTGTTCTTTCACTCATTTTTGGTTTTTGTTTCCTTCCTTCTTGTAGTTGACTTCTGTAATAAGCGAAAATATTGCATCTTCATAAAAATTTGAATATTTAATTCATCCAGGTGATCAAAAAGATGAACCTGTTCAATGTTGCAATATAAATTGCAAATAATTGATAATGAAAATCTCCATTGGAGATTTAAATGCCACTAGTATAATTAAATACCATTTTAAGAGATTAAGTACCATTAAAGAACAAGAAATGGACGGTCCTGATACAACAGTTGACCTTCTCCTGAAAAGAAAGTGGTCTGCAACTAATTGCCCACAACAGAAACGGCTTGACAAAAGTTGCGACAGACACAACAATGGAAACAGAGTACTAAAAGCTGCCTTGAGAATCTGCAAAAATCTGACATGTTTGCAGGTATATTTCTGAGAATGGGGGCAGCATTAAGATCAATGTATGTGAACAGCAAGTATGAAGAAGTCCGAGAAGAATGGGAGGAAGATTACAGTCCTCAGAGGTTTTCTTACAAAGCTCTCTACAAAGCCACCAAAGGGTTCAAAGAGAGCGAGTTATTCGGTACAGAGGCTAACGGGACAGTTTACAAAGGAAAGCTCTCTTCCAATGCACAGATTGCTGTAAAGAGAGTTTCTTTGGATGCAGAACAAGATACCAAACACCTTGTTTCTCAGATTGTTGGTATTGGGAAGTTAAGGCACAAGAATCTTGTGCAGCTTTTAGGATACTGCAGAAGAAAAGGTGAATTACTCTTGGTCTATGATTATATGCCTTATGGAAATCTTGATGATTTCTTGTTTAATGAAGAAAGGCCTAATCTTAGTTGGTCTCAAAGGTTTCACATAATCAAAGGAGTGGCTTCAGCTCTTCTCTATTTGCATGAACAGATCGTCCTCCACCGAGATGTAAAAGCCGCAAATGTACTCTTGGATGAGGATTTAAACGGGCGGTTAGATTTCGGTCTAGCTAGATTTGGTACAAACAGGAATCCAATGCTTGGAAGCGTAGGGTATGTGGCTCCAGAGCTTATAATAACAGGAATGCCTACAACCAAAGCCGATGTTTATTCATTCGGGGCATTACTACTTGAGTTTGCTTGTGGAAGAATGTTCATTGAGTATCCCGGGAAGCCTGAAGAGTTTAACTTGATCAGCTGGGTGTGTCAATGCTGGAAAAGAGGGAACTTAGTTGGCGCCCGAGACGCTAGATTGGAAGGAGATTACGTCTGCAAGGAGATAGAGATGGTACTAAAGCTTGGACTACTATGTGCACAGTACAATCCAGAGGACAGGCCTAGTATGTCCCAAGTGGTAAACTATCTTGAAGGAAATGAAGTTTTGCCTGAGATGCCTCCAGACACTCCTGGGATCAGTATTCCAACACCGTACAACGAAGTTCTTGCGTAGCAGCACTTCGTCTAGTCCCCGGAAAGAACAGAACAGTCCACTTCTCTCAAGAACCTACAAAAATATTAATACGGTATAATCTTGGCAACATTTCTTTACAGTTTGTCCACATTCTTTATGTCACTATGTATACAATGAAAGATCAAATACAAAACACTATGGTCAGGAAAAGCTTGTAATGTTATAAATTTATAATGGCATGAAAATATTCAACAAATGTGTTACAATCATGCCACAAAGTAAAGTTTTCCTATAATTTCTTGTTAGCAGTTTTGTCATATTTTGTTTTAAGATATAAATAAATTTTTATATAGCAGCTTTTGATTTCTAATACGAATCTTGAATCGTGATACAACATTATCTAGCTTGTTGTCACTAATCCTTATGAACATAACCTAATGAAATACCTGTTAATCTTGATTGTTTCCATTATCTTCTAGAGATTGGTGTGGCTCTTTTTGATCCTTCACTATTACCACAGGCAAACATAAGATCTCTTAATTAATCAACAACAACAACAACAAAATATGTCAAGAGTTTCACAGCAGACAACGCGGGAAAATTGATTCCTTGATTTAGGTTCTTCTGAATTCAATGTATCTTTTTCATAGGAAAATTGTGTCAGAAAATAAATTGATTCGCGTTACAAATTAAAAGAAAAAATGACGAAATTATTCAGTATTGGAAATGATGCGATGACGAAACGTTATTATGACTTTTTTTAATTAGCCCCAATAATTGTTGGCCTAGTCTATTTACTTTTTCTATTATTATCAACACGTAACATCGAGAATTGATGAGGGATTACTATTTACGTCCAACATTGTTTCCCTTTTGAACCACCTGAAACGCTAAGTGACCAGAGCTCTGTTTTGTTTCTATTTTCAAGACTTTGTGTGTTGTGTTGTATTGAATGTTTCTCTCTCTATCTCTCTCTCATCATCTAATCTCCATTTCTTCTTCTCCTTCTCTCTCCCTCGCCTGTGTTCTGTCTCTTTCTAACACTTAATCTTCTCACGGCCATGGAAGAGAACTCAAGTCAAAACGAGCTATCGGAGACTAAGAACATACAAGGTTTCAATGGAGATACAGTTCAGAAGTTTTTCAGAGTTTACATACCAAATCAAACCGCAGATGACATGGTACGTTGCTTAAGATCTCTTAGAACAGAGCATTTTCGTTCTGTTTTTGCAAGATCTTGTCCTTTTTTTCCTAGTTTTGGATGATATCTGTAGAAGAATCTTGAAACTTTTAGCTTTAGCAGACATTATTGGGTTTTAGGTTGTTGTTTTATGTGGCAAATCCGCCGGTAATATGATGTGTTTCTCTATTGTTTTGTACAGAATCTACCTTTGGTTTTGGACAAGATCTCAGGGAAGCCTCTTCCTCGGAAGGTGACTGTTAAAAGCGTGTCCTCGGGGAACATTTGGAGGATGGAAATGAAAGCAAACGGTAACACCGTGTTTCTCCGAGACGGGTGGAAAAAAATCGTCAAGGACGAGAATGTGACAGAGCCAATTTTCTTGGAGTTTGAGTTCGATGGTTCTGGTGTATTCCACTTTTGTGTGTATGAGTATGGTTCAATGTGTAAAAGGATGAGATCTCCAATGGAAAAAGAAGTGATAAAAGTGGAGAGTACTGAAGAAGAAAGTGAAGAAGATGTGCTTGTGGATGATGAAGAGAGCACAAAAGGGCTTGAGGAGTCGCCAAGAAGAGGTATCAAAAACACTTTATTTTGATGTTTATAAGAGACTCAATTAATGTTTTTGTAAGTGTTCTGTTTCCTAATCATTGGATAGGTGGTACAAGTAGAAGACGTGCGAATTTGAAGATTGACAGTCATAAGTTTTATGAACATCTAGACAACAAACGAAATCCGTCGTTTCCGGTTGATACGACTCATAGTAGAACGGTAAAGAAAACGAAATGTGACAAAAAAAAACAAAATGGTTTGTCATTCATTATGATTAGTCCATCAATTGGTTTTGATTTTGCAGCGCATACCGTCTTTACTTATAAAGGACTACAACTTGACATTTCCCAACATGGTTATCGTGCGTGACAAGATTGGCATATTGAAGAGGAGAATCGCGGTTTGGAAGAACAGATCCGTGTATCTAAATGGAATCAGTAGTATCATCCGAAGGAATCATGTGAAGCCAGGTGATGAAATGGTATTCGAACTAAAGATGGTCAATGGTTATCACGGTTTGGTTCACGAAATCAAGGTCCACATTATCAAAGCCTGATCATAGTTTTACATGTTGTTCTACTTCTATCTTAGAGAATGTTGATTGAAAGGTTAAGGTTATTTATGTCGTTGTGTTGATCATGTTAGTTTTGCATCTGTTTTGTATGCCTTCTCTTTTGTTGTAAAACCTCTGGCCACATATATGCATTTGGAAGAGAAGTCATCATTGGCTTTATGGTCGGTATAGCTTCAGGGAACCTGCAGATACAAACAAGAGACTGTAACTACAAGAATGATGCAGATACAACAAGACTTAAGTAAAGATTCAAGTGTACGTAGAAGATTTCTGATTTCTGTAGTCTCTGTGGAAAGATTTCAAGAATCAAATCCATTTGCTAGTTTAACTTTTCCGCATAGTCTAAAGGCAACATCTAAGTGAACAGCCTATAAACCATTTCAGTTTGCATTGTCTACGAGTTTCGATGTTTAAATAAGTCAATATAAAATGATATAAGTCTACAAAAAAATAAAATAAATCGATAGTGCAATGCCCTTAAATTAATATTGATTTAAACATTTTATGAATTTTTTATTATTAATTTTGCGTTAAGTATGAATTTAAGTTATATAATTTCAAATTAATTATTTTCAAAGTTAAATTACAACTTTAAATAGTAAAGTATTTTAAAATTAAAAATCTTTTATACTTTTTACTTCCAAATCCATTAAAATCCACGAATAAATCATTGAATGAATAACACGTGATTTCAAAAAATATATTAAAATTAATGATCCAAAACATATAATTTTTTTTATATATATACTCACTCTGTCCCAAATTATAAGAGGTTTTGGCTAAAAGCACAAGGATTAAGAAACAATAAATGTTTTCTTATTTATAAAAATTCAACCAATTAAAAAAAAGACTGCATAATTTAAACAGTCAATAACTATTAAATCATATATATAAAAGTTGGCCAACTCTCTCCATATGAGTGACACATCATCACACAAGTAAATGACATCTGTCATTCAACATTATTTAAATTAAAAATCAGCAAAATTAATTGAAAGAAAATCAAAAGTCTCATATTGTGTTAAATCCTCCAATAATCCATTTCTTAAATGATTTCTTCAAAATAAAAATAAAAGTATAAAATTATTTTAATAAATCAATTACTACTTTCATTTTACTTTTATTATTTTTCTAATTTTTTTTTAATTTAATAGTCAATGGTCATCACTCGATAATGACTAAATAATTATTTGTGTTGTAGTTTAGTTGTTTGCTACCTAATATCTTATTAGTTTAGTAATTCTACCTTGAATATTTTTTAATTATTACGTTATGGTTCATATCTTATCATATGACATTCTTTCTTTTCATTTTTGTATCCTATGGTAAGTTCGTAACATTAACATGCAAAATTTTTACAAGTAATAGGCTTTGAGACGTTAGACATACCACGGAATTCAAGACAAATCTATTTATCTTATATGGCTATATGCAATAGCATAAAATCTAAAAGTATTACTTAAATAACTCTTTAATTTTTGCTTTCTTTTTCTTCTTTTCATACGAAAAGTACTCTTGAGATCAAAATATCTTATATTCTTGTTGTGGGTATTCATGATAATGAACAAATACTAGAATCTTAGTTTTAAAAATAATCAGATTATACATGAAAATGTATAATTAGATATTTAGAGTCAAAAACGAATCTAACAATAAAAATTTTAAGTACATAAGATGAGTATAATTTTATTAAGTATACAATAACAAACAAAAAAATAAACACAAATTAGCAACAAAAACAATTAACACATTTTTATCTTAACAATTTTCAAAACAAACCCACGAGTAGCGTGGGAATTCATCTAGTAAGTATAAATAGTGCATTGAAACTTGAAAAAATCTATTAAAATGGAACAAAGAAAAAACCCTTAAACCTCTTATAATTTGGGACAGAGGGAGTATTTCTATGTAAATTAAAATACATGTGTGATTATAAGTGTCAACTTTTAATTTTAAGTGTTCTTTCTTTTTTGCAAGACGGTTAATCACATTCAAATTGCTTAACGAGACGCATGTATTTTGCATTATTGTCAATAACTTAGCAAATCAAGGACTATTGAATTGGTCTTTTCAACAAATCCATTGTTTTAAAATAGAATTAGCGGTCCTCCCTTGTGTAAAGGAATCGATTTCCACCTTTCACAATTCCAATGTTGTAGGAATACATACTGACTCCAATTTTCTATCTATATATACATTTTTGGAGTACATTTAGCAAATAAATCCTGGAGTTGAGAAGTATTTACGAGGTCATGCCACTGGAATTAATTCTTAAGATTTGCAGAAAATAATTAAAGATATTAACAAAATTAAATCGTTCCTAAAATCTCGACTATATCTTAGGTTTCCTTATCTACATTCGATTGTTTTGGTTATGTTTTTAAAGATATGTGATATATAATATTTGTTACCATAAACTCGAAAATATTCCTAAAATCTCAATTATATAGTCTCGAGTTTATTTATTCAATTCTAACTAATCTCAACGACGTAATTAAGATTACATATTTTCGTTTCCTTAAATAAGATTTAATTTAGTTATTATTTTGTTAGATTTCATTTACTATTTACTATAATTTAGGGATTCAAATTTTTGAATAATCGATTATAAAGAAAATAATTACTACTCTTCAAACCGAAATTATAGCATATTCCTAAAGTATATACGATTACATATATTTTATTCCAATTTGCAAATGGTATCAAATCTTTTTTGCTTGGCCACCAAAAATTAGACCTAACTTTGTCGAGTATAAATATTGGGGAAGATGTGTCAAGTGAGAGAGAGATTAACAGGCTCGCTTTTAGATGTTTGAACAAATTGACGAGGAAATACCGAAAAATGAGAACTACAAGACATGTCTCATGGAAGAGAAGGAAGTTCATGAATGGGCTTACAAGAACGACAAGAACGATTTTGGTAGTCTCACGGGAAAACGGAAACGAAAAAAAAGCAGTTTATAGAGACTTTTAAAGCGATTTGCGGTGGATGAAAGCAATGGAGAATGAAGAAGAAGATTATTATCCATGTTTTCAAATCTCATGATGAAGAGAGAGTTTAGGGGTTTAGTTGAAGCTAGGTATATTAAATATTGTTGTTTCATTATGTGTTTTATGTTTGCAAGAAGAAGGTGTTTGGCTGATATTTGAGTATGTGAAAGCCAATGTTTGCTCTTTTTGTTTTTAGCTCTTTTAAATAAACGTATTAATTAATTGACTTTCATGCACCAAGAGTTACTACTTTTCCTAATACTATATTTTGGTGAAAAGCAAAGACAATTTGTATTCTTTTGGTTCTCTCTCTTCAAAGTAAAAAATACAAACTTCGTTGCTTTTTTAAGGTTTTAGTCCAAAATTTCTCAACATGTCTCTCTTTCTAAACAATCTCAACATGATTAATACAAAAATCTAAATGAAAATATATCTTTATTTTTTAAGTATTTACGACAAATGTCAGTTTTTAAAAACCAAATTTAAAAATAACGGCAAAATTGGAAATAAAAAGAGGTTAAAGAAATCAGATCGGTTCATTAGAATCGGCATCCCTTCAAGCTGGTCATTGATCTTTTTATTTTTTTCGTGATTTTTTAAAAAATTGTAACAACCAAATCTACTTCATTTTTTACGCACCATATCTACATCATTTATTCTTGAATTAAAAATACCTTTTTTCTTTATTTTAAATCTACTACAAACAAATCACATCTTAGTTTGTTACCAAAACTGCTTACTAAATATCAGTGAGAGATTGTAGGAAATGTACTTATTTAAAATTTCTATGTTTAAACATACAATTATTGTTAATACCATAATTGGTATTGTGAACTATATATAGGTATAATTATTTATATATTATAAAAATCGTGAAATATTAGTTAGATTTTAATCATTTATTTCACCTCTTATCAACAAAGTAAGATATAGATTTTTTAAATAATCAATTGTAAAGTTCCTATTCTAATTTAATTAAAAAATATAATATTATAAATATTCTAACTTGATAAAATAAAGAAAATATTGAAACATGACAAAAAATTTAGAGACTCACAAAAATGCCCCTTTTTCAATACCCCTTTTCAAAAATGCCCCATTTGGCTGTCCATTTTTAAAAATACCCCTTTTTATGTACTAAATGACTAAATTACCCTTCTTTTAATAAAAGATATCACAAATATATAAAGAAATATAACAAAATTAGGTCCACAAAATACAAAATATTTTTTGGCAGGAAAATTGATCCCGCAATTTTTCCCGCCAAAACACTTGTAAAAACTTGTAAAACCTTTAAAATACCTTGTAAAATTTTCCCGTAAAATTTTTTCCCGCCAAAAAATTTTTTTTGCGGGAAAAGTGATTCCGCAATTTTTTTGGCGTTAAAGTTTTGGCGGGAAAATTTTTGGCGGGAAAATTTTACAAGGTATTTTAAAGGTTTTTTACAGGGTATTTATAAGGTTTTACAATGTATTTTAAAAGGTTTTACAACGTATTTATAAGGTATTTATAAGATATTATAAGATTTTACAAGCTATTTTAATAGGTTTTACAAGTTATAAGGTTTTACAAGTTTTTTATAAGGTTTTACAAATTATAAATACCTTATAAAACCTTATAAGTACCTTGTAAAACCTTTTAAAATACATTGTAAAACCTTACAAAACACTTGTAAATACTCTGAAAACCTTTAAAATACCTTGTAAATTTTTCCCGCCAAAAAAATTGCGGAATCACTTTTCCCGCAAAAAAAATTTTTTGGCGGGAAAAATTTTTACGGGAAAATTTTACAAGGTATTTTAAAGGTTTTTACAAGTGTTTTGGCAGGAAAATTGCGGGATCACTTTTCCCGCCAAAAAATATTTTGTATTTTGTGGACCTAATTTTGTTTCAAATAAGGGTAAAATGGTCATTAAAAATTAAAAGAGGGCAAACTTAAAAATGGACTCTCAAAGGGGGCATTTTTGAAAAAGGGTATTGAAAAAGGGGCATTTTTAACAATTTCCCAAAAATTTATAATGATGAAAAAAATTGAAGAGCTCACGGATTAAATGGTGTGACGGGTTAGAATTGATTCTGAACTTTGGATTTGTAACTTAATAACATGCATCTTATTCATATAAATATTTAACCATATAAAAGCCAAATAATACAATAGCTTAATTAAAAGAACCACATCTTATTAAAAATCATACACAATCAATCGGTAAACCTAAAACAAAATTAATGTTCTCAAAACTACTAATATAGATATATGGAAGCTACATTTAAAATATACAAAAAATAAGTTTTTTTTCTTTATTAATAAACAAAAAAAATTATATTTTAATTATTTTTCAAAATATTGCCCCGCGGTGTACCGCGGGTTAAAATCTAGTTTAAAGACCTAAAACAGAATAACTAAGACATAGAACATTTATGCAAAACAAATTGTTTAAATCAATTTATCTTCTTCTGATAAGGATTTTTCACCATCTACTATTTAATCAGAGATGAAAATCATTACATTGTTGTCCATCGTTTTCTCTTGACATCATTTCTAGTTCCAGTCAAAGTTTTTGGTGTCGGTAGTTGTGAAAGAGACCTTCGAATATGTTATAGGTTATTTGATAGTTGATACTAGACAATGGAACGAGTTTAAAAAATGTTGTCATATTCCGAAGTTGCTCGAGAAACCATGTTATTGTATGGCTCGTAAAGACCCGGTGATATCTGGATATGCTACTATGATTCTTGATCAATGTCCTGATACGCCTGAACCCAAATGTTAAAAACATATAGGGGTGATTGGCAATGGACTTTCAAGACTTTAACAGCTTTTTTTTTTTTTTGATAACCCAGTGTCCAGACCACACAGTGATCCGACTAGCCCACTGGGCCTAAGCCCGCGTGCCTGGGATTTTTAAGCCTCCACTTAAGGGCCCCCGGAACTGGTGGTCTGGGACGCTGCGCCCCGCAGGTAAATTGCGCAGTGGCCAAGTGGAGATCTAGCAATTGCGCGCTTGCGGGAAATCGATCCCTGGCCTAGACCAACAGGGCAACTCCTCCACAAGTGGCAACCACTAGACCAAGAACACTTGGTTACTTTAACTGCTTTTAAAGTTGTTGTTTTTTTTTTTGCAATCAAGCTTTTAAGACTTTATAAATTTTTAAGTTTTAAGACCTCACTGTTCGACAGAACTGTGAGGAACAGACAGTATTGGAAATTTTTTTGAAAAGTTAAAAAAGAGAGAAGTTACGCGCGTGGATCTTACTCGCGGCGATTTCTCTCTCAATTTTTCTTTTTCTTCTGATCACAACTCCTTGCGCCGACGATCGGGTTCTCCGTCGATTCCGGTGACGATGAGAACCCAGAGGCTCATGGCTCTTCATCCGTAACCTGGAACATCTCTCCGGCGAAGCAATCTGACCAGAATCAAGGGAGCAGTGGAGGGGAGAAGCTTCTGCCCGACTCCGTCGGTAAGAGCTCTACCGGCGGTGAAGCGATGTGGAGTGGAAGACGGAGATCTAAAGTGAGAAGCGAGAGAGGCAAGCAGTTAGAACTGGGACCGGAGATTCTGGAGGTTTCACGGGATCTTTGTCGATGGGGGAGGTAGACTCCGATCCGGCGAAGCTAAGCCAACGTCGACGGTCTTCTTTCTACTCCCTACTGTTTCTCTCTCTCACGACCTGCGCATGGATCTCCTCGACAAAGACAAGATCGGATCTCTTCCTCCTTCTCAAAAAGAACTCTACGGTGGCGGGATGGCAACGGATCTTGGATCACCATCTCGTTCGGCTCGCGTCGTCCAGGCTCACCGGAGGTCCTGTTCCGGCGAGAATCTGCAGTGTTGGACGGCGGCTTCAAACATGTTCTTTGTTTGGAGATTAGGGTTTCATCTTTTGGCCGGTTTAGTTCGGTTAGTGAACCCGAGCCGGTTTTAGGTTTTGGGTTGTTTTGTTCTTAGACTGATGTTTGTGGGTTGGGCCTTCGGGATTTGTATGGGCCTATATCCGGAAATAGCCCATTGGGCATTTATTTATAAAAATTGAATACCTTTTAACAAAAAAAAAAAAAATCTTTAAAGTCTCTATCCTACAATTACTCTTTCTTCTTTTCCAAACAAAAATTAAAGCCTCATAATGGAGACTTTTACTTCAAGAAAGAATAAAAAAAACCAAAACTTTTATTTTCTATCTTCAGCTTCTTGATGCATGTTAAAGATATATATTAAAGATATATATAGGAAAATAACATCAATATCGCAAATGTATGTTGAAAAGAGATAAAAGAAAAAGTCCAAGGCTCTGTTTAGAAAGTAATATATTTTGTAGGTGATAATTAGTTTGCAAAAGAACAAAAGAGAAATTAGTAACACCCAATTCCAAATGTGATAAAGAAGAAATCAACTAGTTTCAAGAAAAAATCCTTAAATAATTTTACTAGAAAATTGAGGGAAACAAAGTTTTATTTAAGAAAAATGTATAACGTTACTATCGGAAAAACATTTAATTAATAGCGTTACTTGAAAAATAACCCGTCAAACATTGATTGGAAAGCAGTAAGAGCCTCTAATAATGTACATATTTCTTTTCTTTTTTTTCTTGTACATGAATGAGGGATTAGTCCCAAGATGGAGTTGATATTGGTCCCAAGAAGAAGGCTGCTGCAAGAAAGAACGAGCGATTGGTATATGTTTTTGCTTCTGTTCAAGTGTTTGTATCAAATGTTGATCACACATTTGATTGTTCTCTAGTGTAAGGAATGAGAGGCTGCTACATCCGAGGAAGTGAGGAAGAGCAACCATGTTCAACAGAAGTTAGATAACAACAAATGCAAGCCCAAAATAAAAAATTCAAAAACAGATCACACTTTAGGGAGAGAAATTTGAAACCAAGATGCTCAAAGTCTTTGAGTCATTAATAGGACGACAAAGTGAGTGGCGCCTAGAGACTAAAGCCAAATAATCGCCTAACAAGGCTCATAGGATAAAAGGTAATGATGTAAAGTACACACTACAGAAAGAAAGAGAAAGAAAAATTTGCAGAGTTTTTCCAAATGGCTAGAGTTACGGAATCACTCTGTTTTTGGATGATGATTTCAGTTCTTGTGGTCTCTTTGGTGCTAGCCCAAGATGGTCATCGATTTGTGCTCTACGACTTCAGGAACGCCGATCTGTTCGTAGATGGAATGGCAAGTACCGAAGATGGTCGTCTGAGACTCACAGATAGTACAACGAGAGCCACAGGTCATGCGTTCCACCAAAAACCCGTACATTTCAGAAACACTTCATCTTCTTTTTCTACAGAATTTGTTTTTGCGATCATTCCAGAACGCAGTCATAGCTTCGGCCAAGGAATGGCTTTTGTTGTTTCTCCAACCATTGATCTAAGGTATGGCGCTTCAGGACCGTATCTAGGTCTATTCAATAAGACGAACGATAACAAGACCGAAAACCATATCCTTGCTGTAGAGTTTGATACTAATCCAAGCGCTGAAGCAGTTGATACAATAACAAGTCATAACGATGTAGGTATAAACATAAATAGTATAGTATCCGTAAAATCTGAGATTGCTAGTTACTATGATGATACAGCAAAGATGAATATAACCATTTTACTCGCTAGCAAACAAAGAATTCATGTCTGGATAGACTATGATGCAGAACAGAGATTACTAAATGTAACTCTTGCTCCACTCAAGACGGCGAAACCAAGTTCCCCTCTCTTGTCATTACCCGTAGATCTTTCCAAAATCTTCAAGGAGCAGATGTATTTCGGTTCCGGTTCCACTGGTATTATCAAAAGTCATCAATACATACTTGGATGGGCGTTGGCAATAGGCGGGAAAGCACAAAGCCTTGATATTTCTAAAGTTTTGGATCTCCCCCAACCATCATCCTCTTCACCTGCACTCACCAAAGGTCAAGTGATTACAATCTCTATCATCTCTGTTTTAGTATTTCTTATGATACCAAGTGGGATCATGTATCTCTACTTTAGAAAGAAGTACGCAGAGGTTTTTGAGCAGTGGGAACAACAGTATAGCCCACAAAGATTCTCCTTTAGGACCCTTTACAAAGCGACCAATGGTTTCAAGGGGGATCGGGTTATTGGAGCAGGAGGATTTGGCAAGGTTTATAGAGGAGATTTACCTGATGGTACTCAAGTTGCAGTGAAGAAAGTCTCCCATGGTTCACAACAAGGGTTACAAGAGTATATTTCAGAAATTGCTACAATGACAAGACTAGGGCACATGAACCTTGTTCAACTCCGTGGATACTGCAGGAGACAAGGAGAGCTCATTCTGGTCTATGAGCATATGCCCAATGGGAACCTCTCTGAGTACTTGCTCAAAGGTGATGGTCTTAGTTGGTTACAACGACTTCATATAATAAAAGGAGTTGCTTCTGCTCTGTGTTATCTACATGAAGGCTGGGGACAAGTTGTGCTGCACAGAGATATAAAAGCAAGTAACGTTCTTTTAGATGCCAATCTTAATGCAAAGCTAGGAGATTTTGGGCTTGCTAGATTCCACGATCGTGGCATGGCTCTTGAAACCACACGTGTGGTAGGAACCACTGGTTACATGGCTCCAGAGCTAATGACAATGGGGGTGGCCACTACTTGGACTGATGTCTATGCATTTGGAGCTTTAATGCTTGAGGTGATTTGTGGGAGGAAGCCAGTCGACCCAAACAGACCAGGTGAGCAGATGATCTTGGTAAATTGGGTTGCAAGTTGTGGGAGAAGAAGTGCTTTAATGGATACTATCGACAGTGAACTAGCAGGAGATTTTGAAGAGGCTAAGCTTCTTTTGAAGCTAGGCATGCTCTGTTCACAAAGTGACCCGGAAAAGAGACCTAGTATGGAAGACGTAACAGAATATCTGGAACAGAAAAAAAGTATACCAGACATATCGTTTGATACAGCTGAGTTTGGTTTACCCATTGCCAACGAGATAAGCCATGAAACGGCAACAACACAAGGAACTACCTCTTCGTTCTACTATGACACCACTACGATACTACTTAGCGGTCGTTGAAGGCCAAGAAGAGTAAAAAAAAAAGGTAAACATATATAAACAAGTTACCAAGGAGAAGCTGAGATTCTTATGCACAAGAAGTATATATCAAGTGTTCTTTAATAAAACTCAGGTTTACAAATCTGTGTTTCTTTTCTTTGTAATTTTGTTTTATTGTTTCTTAAGTAATTAGAAACTGAAATATATATTACCTATTTGGTGTTTCTGTTCGATGATATGATTATTGTCTGATTTATATTTTGTGTTTCAAAATGTTGTTAAGAGACTACTGAACTTGTTTGGAAAAAAAAAAATGAGTTTCACATAAATCTGGTCTCTTTGGCCTACAAATGAAATTACGTGAAAATATTGTGGCAAAGCTGAAACTCTTTAATATGTGGGCCCCGCACGATCAAGATTCTGTGGCGAAAAGTTCAGACCAAGCCACATCAAGATATGTTAATGACGTGGCATGCTCTTATTGGCTATGAATCTGTTCTGGATAACAAAAGCATCATCTGTGAAAAACACAAACAACGAAAGTCTTTTTTGCACTCGCCATGGTGTCTCATCTTCAATGTATGGCATCCACATTGTTTACTTGAGGTACAAGCAAAACATCTAAGTTCGTCGACCTCCTCTTAATGGCTTCAAGTTCAACTTCATTCCCGTTAACCATCGCGCCACCACAGGGTGTCAGGTTTAACCGAAGAAAACCGAGGTTAACCGTGTGGGCTAAGCAAACGGCGTTTCAACTCGGGAAAACCAAGGGTGATGATGACTCGGAGGGGAAACCAAAAGGGAAGAACCCGTTTCAGTTCGACTTCGGTAAGTTACCGGACATTAAGTCACTTATACCAGTTGTGTCGAATCCTTCTACCGGTTTAGTGTTTGGTAATAACAGAAAGAAAGATCCTGGTACGATTTTTGTGGCCGGTGCTACGGGACAAGCTGGTATACGCATAGCTCAAACGCTCTTGCAACGAGGATTCAGTGTTCGAGCCGGTGTTCCTGACATTGGAGCTGCCCAAGACCTCGCTCGTGTCGCGGCTACTTACAAGGTCCGGTTTTGTTTTAAGTCCTTTGATTCATACTCTGTCCATTTTCTAAACGCGATAAAGATGATCTTGAATTTTGGTCGCAATTGCACTTTAGATTAAGGACAGCGATTACAAATTACACAATTGATTTAGCGATTTAGCGATACAAACGCGGTCTGGTTTTGAAAATTGTTTTGACTTCGCATGTAACTCGGTTTGCCTTTTTCAATTTTCTTTTTTCGTAAATAATTCACAAAAACATGCGATGCGAATTTGAGGCGTTTAGCGTTTTGATTTATCGTTTGACGATCAGCTTTTCAACAGATTTTATCAAATGACGAAGTCAAGAGGCTAAACGCAGTTCAATCCCCCTTCCAAGACGCAGAATCAATCGCAAAAGCGATTGGAAACGCGACTAAAGTTGTTGTTACTGTCGGGGCAACAGAGAATGGTCCTGACGCCCAAGTCTCGACCTCAGACGCTCTGCTCGTGGTCCAAGCGGCTGAGCTCGCTGGGGTAAGTCATGTGGCGATCGTTTATGACGGGAGCATCAGCGGATCCACGTACAACGTGCTAGACGGGATTACTTCGTTTTTCGGCAACCTTTTCGCAAAATCTCAGCCATTGACTATCTCTGACCTCATCGAGAAAGTAGCTCAAACAGACGTGGCGTACACGCTCATAAAGACGAGTTTGACGGAGGATTACTCGCCGGAAAAATCTTATAACGTCGTCGTTTCAGCTGAAGGGAGTAACAGCGGCAGTGGCAGTAGTTCGTCCGAGGCCTACAAAGTAATGTAATGTATGCGATAAAAAGGGATTATTATCATACATTACATTGAAACGAAATCATTTGGTTATAGATTGATTTGATTAATGGGGTTATTAACTTGTTAGGTGTTCTGTTTTGTGACCAGGTCCCGAAGTTGAAGATTGCGTCGCTGGTTGCAGACATTTTTGCGAACACGGCCGTGGCAGAAAATAAGGTAGCGTATATCACAAGTAACTTACTAGTCAAGTTTGTGATTGTTGAATTAACCTTTATGTTTGAGCTCAAAAGCATCAGCTTTGTTTTGTGTGTCCTTTTGCAGGTGGTGGAAGTTTCTACAGATCCATCAGCACCGTCGCGGCCAGTGGACGAGCTTTTCAGGTAAATGAGTCCTCTTGTTGATTGATTCAAAAGTCATAGTAATAATATGATGATCTTAAAACTAGCGAATTCGGATTTAAACGCGTTCTCGATACAGATTTTGTAGCTTAAATTAATGTTTATGTTAACTTGTTTTAATGAAATATTATCTATGAATCTATGATAGTGTAATCCCGGAAGATGGGAGGAGAAAAGTGTACGCAGATGCGATTGCAAGGGCAAGAGCAGAGGAAGAAGCTAAAGTTGCAGCTGAGAAAGCCCGAGAGGCAGCAGAAGCAGCGAAAGAGTTTGAGAAACAAATGCAAAAGCTATCTGAGAAAGAAGCAGAAGCTGCTAGCTTAGCTGAGGATGCGCAGCAGAAAGCAGAAGCCGTGGGAATCACGGTGGACGGTCTATTTAACAAGGCGAAAGATATCGGTTCAGGTCTCTCCTGGAATAAACTCGGTTCTCAGTTCGCAACCGCGGTTCAAAACGCTTCAGAGACGCCTAAAGTACAGGTTGCTACGGTCAGAGGACAAGCAAAAGCAAGAAACTTGCCACCCAAGAAAGCAGTGGTGAAGCAGAGACCATCATCTCCGTTTGCATCCAAACCAAAGGAAGAACGTCCGAAGAAGCCTGAGAAAGAGGTGAGGAAAGTGTTTGGAGGACTGTTTAAGCAAGAGACCATCTATGTTGACGACGACTGAAAACGCCATAAACTATGTCGTTTCAGAGCTCCGTACAGTTTCCTTTTTTTCTTTCCTTCTGTTTCAAGTTAAATTTCTGTAACCATATGATAAAATTATATATAAAAATCCATTGTTCTCTCTTTTTAAAACAAAAGTTACTAATTTGATTCACATCAACTAAATTCTGATTACAAATTCAAAGCAAATCATATTCGAATCTATAGTAATCCCTAATACATAATCCAAACTAAAACATAGAAGTCAAAAACCACCTTTGAGATAAAGCATGAAGAGACAGAAAAAGATGATAACAAGAATCCAAATCCCATCAGCTTGATCATTAATATCATGTCGAATTTGTTCAGCGTTGTTGTTTAAGACCATCATAGCCATTAGGGCTAAGATTATGACGAAAATCGATCCAGTTCCTATGCCGCCTGGTCTGGTATCAATCTTCTTTGAAACATTATTGTTCCCGCCGCTAGAATAGCTTACCAAAACCCAAAAAACTGCAGCAAACGCCAGAATTACGATCGCAGCCATTGGCATCTTTAATCTCTTTCTTGTGTTTGTGTGCTTTAGACAGAAACTAAATACTCTTGTAGTCTTGTGCTTTCTTTCTTGTGCTTGTGTGACAGAAACTGAACACTCTTGTGTTTTCTTTTATAATGCATGTTTAATCTAATTTATGTCAATTCGTTTATTTCCATTTTTTTCTAGTTTTCCTTTTTCTATAATTTTTTCTCTTTTTTTCCATTTTCTGGTTAGAGGTGTGTGTGATTTTCCCTTTTTTTTTTTATTTTAAAAAATGGAAATATTGAGTGCGTAAGTAAAAAAAAAAAAACAATTTCTGTTTAGAATTTTAGTGCACAGAGAAAGTGAAACTTTTTTTTTGTTTATTGAAAAACAATATGATAGTAACAATGATCCCAACAAATTTCGTTTGCATATATTACAGAATTTTCTAAGCCTAACCTGTTTGTCCCTTATTTCTTTGGCCTGTCTTTGCTTATTATACACACAAGCAAATGTATAAGTCCCCACAAGTATTACCAGTAATCTCCACAAGAACATACTCCATTCTTGAACCTATGAAACCGGTTCACATCTCTAACTAGAATCTCCTTCTCCATAAACTTCGAGATGAACTTTGTAAACAAGTGACAGTCCTCGCACAAACGCAAGTTCTTTGTGATTCTGATTGGTTCTCCTTTTGATGTATTTATCAGCCCAAACGCCAACGCCAGTTTCTCACTGTGTCCCAACACTATCCTCTCTTTTTCTTCTGTTTCAAGCTCATACAGAACTCCTTTGGTCTGTGGTATGTACCCTTTCTCCTTCATATCTTCGGCTAACTTAACCAAGAAAGCATGAATCTGTTCCATAAGAGGGTTAAACTCATCCACCGAGACAAATGAGTACATTTTTCTCCTCACTTCCATCCAGCATCGACCAGGCAGCTTCTGCAGTCCCCGGTGTTCTAGAAGCTTCTTCACTCTCTTAACCTCATCCCACATCTGAGCTTCCGCGTAAATGTCTGCCAACAACACATAATTTCCTGCATTTTTTGGTTCAAGTGCAAAGAGTCTTCTACTCGCCCGTTCTGCAAGCTCAACATTACCGTGAATTCTACAAGACCCGAGAAGGGAACCCCAAACCTTAGGCCCTGGCTCAGTCCTCATGTCCTGTACCATCTTTGCTGCCTCATCTAACCTATTCGCCCGACCTAACAGATCAACCATACAAGCATAATGCTCGACTTGTGGTTTTATCCCATGGTCTCTCCACATTGATTCAAACAATCTTTTTCCTTCTTCAACAAGTCCCTCGTGGCTGCAAGCCCCCAAAACGCTGACAAATGTTACGGGAGTTGGAGAAGCCCCATTGGCGAGCATCTCTTCAAATATCTGAATTGCTTTCCTTCCATACCCGTGAACGCCATAGCTTGATATCAAGGAATTCCAGGATACAACATCCCGGTCATGCATCCGATCAAAAACTCTTTGTCCCACATCGAGCTTACCGCATCTACCATACATTGTCACAAGAGCACTGATCACCGGTAATATGGAGTCAAGCCCCCGTCTGAGTATGTACCCATGAATCAATCTCCCTTGCTCTAAAGCCGCAAGCGAAGCACAAGCTTGAAGCACACTAACCATAGTCACAGAATTCGGAGATGAATCTTTAGTTTCTGTCATCATTTCACGGAAAGTCCTCAGAGCTTCAAAAGCTTTTCCGTTCTTTGCATAGCAGGCGATCATAGCGCTCCAAGAAACAACGTTCCTCACCGGCATTCCATTAAACACATAGCTGGCATAATCCACACAGCCAAATCGAGCATACATGTCTACCAATGTAGTCATGATGTAAACATGAGCATTGTAACCTCGTCGAGTAAGATGTGCATGAATCTCTTTCCCTTTCGTCAGATGATCCGCCGTGCATTCCGATGCAACACAAGCCTTGAGAACGTAAGTGTATGTGAACCTATCTGACTCAACTCCAATCCTATTCATCTTCCAATACAAACCCAACACCTCTTCTCCATGACCTGCTAACGTAAGCGCCCGGAACAAAGCATTCCATACATATATAGTTCTCTTACGCGTTTTATCGAACACCTTCCGTGCATAATCCACAGAACCCAAATCCGAATACATACCAATAAGCTTTGTAGCCAAAAAAGGATCTTGATCAGACCCATTATCAAGAATATGTCGATGAACACGTAGACCATCAGAAAGAGAGCTCCGATGACCGCAACAGAGAATCAGAAGCTCGTAAGTCTGTTGACTCGGGCTAGATTCCTGAGACAAGACGCGAAGCGCTTGTTTAAGTTTACCCTCTTTGCACAATGATTGAATAAGCTGATTATTAGAGATTTTAGCTCCGGCGCCGGAGGAAATCGAAGGATTGTTTAAAGCAACGGAACACGACTGTGGCTTCAGAGGAGAGCGAGGTAAGAAGTTAACTGTATAATAAGTTGGTTGTATTACTTGAGGAGGGTGTGATAGAAACATTTTCCGGTGATTAAGCTTTTTCCGATGTGTTTCCCGGAAAATTCCCAAAGGAAAACATAAAAATCGCGGCTTTTATATCAAATCTGGTTTTTGGATCGACGATAAAGAGTGGGGCTTTACTTGCCGATGCCACTAGTTTCTCTGCTACTTCCGTTGTTGGTTTACACGTGCCAATCACGTGGTAAGTTAATGGGCCATTTGGAGTAGGCCCATATTTGGATAGTTTTGAATTGGGCTGATCTAAGTTTACTTAGCGTCTTTCGGCCGGGAATAATTTTCTTCCACGGCGGCCACCGGAGAGCCACCAGTAGTAGTGTATGATGATGGTAATGTGCAGTTTCTATCATTATAAAACATAATTTTATTCACGGAGGTTGGCTTAAGAGAAAAACAACGATAGAAACAGCACATTACTATCATTAGTTCATCATACACATACTATTTAGAACAAATTATGACCCCAATGATTGCGAGTGTCCCCACAACACTTATTAGAACAAACTTTTCCTGCATTTTGAATAGTGGAGAAACCAGAGCTTGTATTCGGTGCTTTCTTGAAATACAAGCAACATCTACTAGTAAGGAACCCTCTGTTTTAAGTGTTCTTGGATTATAAGAATCCATGAATGGAAGTATCCTTCAATGTATGTCAGATACATATATAATGTATAAATTGGAAATACACTGGGAGATTCATATATCGACATGTGAAACCGTAGATAATGAGAAAAAAGCAGAGCAAATATTGGGTCAAAGAAAGATAATAACTGTAAAAGATATAATCCAATTCAAAACCAAAACCTTTATTATGATAGTAGATAAACAAAACAATAATGTAAACAAGAGTAAAACTCTCCCAAGAGAACTATCCCTCGGCCTAACCCGATAAAATCCTCCAATGCTCTCAATTGCTTAGATAGGTTTCACAAACAAAACCTACCCTTATTTATAATAAGACGTAAAGTAAAATACTCTAGAAAAAGTAAATAAGAAAATGGAAAGTAATATTTTAGTCACTAATAATACGGCGATTCCCAAGAATTTTTATAGCAATCATTAGAACAAAAGTAAACATCAACACCATCCTCGGCGGCTTCAAGAATGCAAGGGAGTTTGCATCTAGTGTGACACCTGGAGCAAAATGGTCTACAAATCGAAGTGTTCGGTACCACTTTGTATGAGCCTACTTCCGGTACCATTTTGTATGAGCTTACTACCTGTGACAATGGTCCTGGCATATGATATGAGAAGTCTCCCACAACGCAAGAAACATGCAAAGTGACTCCACAAGCATCGCATGTATAGAACCATGTCTTTGCATCTACCCTTTTTTCACATACGTCACACCAGTATTCACCATCCACATTATCTTCACCATAAGATAAGAAAAGAGGATGATCATCGTACCTTTGCTTCATTACTTTCCTTGGTAAAGTTGCGCACCTAAAATCTAACCTAAATTCACACTCTTCACAACATAACAAATGCCTTCTTGTTATGTGACATACGTCGCACTTCGCATCCGCCAAAAAGCTGTACTTGTAGTATAAAGGATGTGGATGACTTTCATGAACAAATGGTTCAAATATCGAACCACATCGTACATCCATAACTTCAGTACGCGAATTATACGCAATATGCAAATTATACGAAAAACCAGTGAAATATTGGAGACAAAGACTACACTGTTTTCTTTGGCGTGAAGAATCCTTGCTATCGTCTGTTTGTAGAGAAAAGGGTATGTTGCACAAAACATGCCTTTTCTTCCGAGGCATATTAGCACATGTTTGATGTAAAATGAAACCGCATTGCTCACATCTATAGAACGGATCAGTATTGATTTGGGAGACGCATGCTTCACAAAGCTTGCTTTCATGGAGAATCATACCATCCTTGTTGAGTATTAAATCATGATCATGACTCATGTGCTTTATTGTGTTCTCGTCAATCACCTCAAATGGCGCAATTTCTTCTTCTTCGGGTGTTCCTTCTAGTTCTACCATGTCCCATACATCTTTTCTAGTTGCACATAATGAATGAACAACATAACTAGAACATTTCGAGCAAGAATAAGCCCCGTAGAACCCATCCACTGTTTTACGACAAACTCCACATTTCCAATTCCCTTGTCCGAGATGACAAATGTAAGAGATGCGATGATCATGGCGGTTGATGTTTATGATGCGGGGTAAGTCAATACAATCTCGATGAATCATGAAATTGCATTGAAGACAGAAATAAGGGCTTCGGTCACCTTGGGTCCCACAAGCATTGCAAGTAAAATCAAGAAGTCTTGGAATGAGATGAAGCTGATGCTCGTGGGTCTTGGGACTTACAACAACAAGTGGTGGTGGGTTTCCCTGACAAAACATGCATATGCTGAAGTTACAAACATCACAATGATAAAGCTCATATTTTTGATCTTGAAACCGTCTTCCGCAAAGAAGGCATTTATGGTCGGCGTAACTCGGGGGCCCACTTTTGAGATATTTGAGAGGGTGTTTGGGATGAGAATTGTGGTGTGCAAGCTCAAGGCAAGTCGAATGAATGTAGAGATTACACCGACGACATTCATAATAAGGAGCTTTATCTCCAGTGCCGATTGAGTAGTTACACCCTTTGCAATTGCCAGATTCTGCAAGCCATGCTGTTTGGGAAGGTGAAAGAGGATGTTCATGCACCTTGTAATTTACAATAGTATAGTGTTGTGGCTGAAGTGAGAGTGGTGGGATCTTTGCACAAACCAAATGCATACCAAAGTCACATATCGAACAAAAATAACCAACTCCCACCGGCCGTTCACACACATGACAACGAATACCTCTTTTGCCAAGCTTAAGTAGATGCTGGGGATGGGCATGGTGGCTGATCTCGGGTTTGGACTCAGCGCACTCCTTATGGAACACCGTATAACACGCCAACTCATTGCAACGGTAGCCTCCATACAAGTAATCTTCAAGCCACGGCGAGCACCCACTACAACGGCCGAAATAAAAGCGATCAAAGGGTAACAGAGGATGGTCATGAACTTGTAGCACCACTTTTTCCATGCTGTATCTCTCTTCTCTAGTGATCTCAATGTGGTTATCAAGGAAAATGGATTTTTTTGCTTTCACGATTCACATTCATAACTTAAGTCAAATAGTTTATAGATATATCCAGATATTTTTAATTATCACTAGGCCACTTGAAAAAGATTTATCTACCGATGACAACTGATAGACAGCTAAGTCTTACTATGTCCTCGATACTTTCCGAGTTTAATTCATTAACAATACTTAGTATATACTTTTATTAAATCATTGGATCCTAATTATACGGTACTCTGTCCAACCACTACTATAATCTTTATATTAAAATGTATACTAATTGAATTATCTTCCACTTGTGCGGATCCTATGTTAGTGAGAAACTGTTATTTTTTGGCCTTTATTAAATAATAATATCTTTCTACAAGTTTGATCTTGAAAACGGCAAAACCATCGGTCTGTTGCTATGATGAAGCTGCTTTGGTGGTGAGTGTTTGGAGACAACATAAGAGAAGAACGCTGCTTGCTTGCATAACAAGCAACCCCCGATAGCACAAAAAAGGCTACGCTAAAATAGTATATAAACACATATCTCATTCACCACATTTTGTTGAAACCCTAAATACTGGAAGAACACACTTAAACCAGAGAAGATTCAGGATCATTCATCATCATCAAAGTCTGAAAGATTTTAGATGGAACAAAGAAACCAGCTTGATGAACTTCTCGTTGTCTCTCCTGCAGGTTCTGCATTAGGTTTTTTTTATATTTCACATTACAAAGCCCTTTAAAAAAAAACCACCTACGACTGTTGCTAATTAGTGTTTAGATCCATGAACAGAAGCGTCCTGCACTGTGATTCTGATAGAGATACATACATATATAGTTATATACACTAGAGGATTTGTATCTACTCTGACATGTGAGAGAACAGAGAAGGAGAAGAAAACAGAGCCAAATTTTTTTTTTTTCTATGAAGTTTTTAACAGAGCCAAAATTAGTATAGCCTAATATGTATATTTGCAATTGCATTACTATGTGTATACGTTCCATTCGTTTAGCCTAGTATAGCGTAACCATTCGACACCATATATACTCTTGATAAAAAGTTTTCAAAGTGATAATGGCTCTCTATAATACTTTATTAAAAGTTTCATTTTCTAATATTCTTAGTTTATTAACGGTCATACTAAATTTTATATGTTGATTACTAACATTGGATCCATCAAAGTGGAAGATAATTTAAACAACCATGATAATTTCAATTTAAAGTGTTGATTCTGTAGGACATGCTGATCTGAATATTTCAATAACATGGAATATGTAATGAATTGAACTTTAAAAGCATCGCCCTCATCACATGCGTGCAAGTGTGGGGTGATTTAAATATATTATCTTTTTTGTTAAATCCAAATAGATATGTTAGATTTAAATTTTGGTACTTTTTAGTTTGTACTTAATAGTAATGCACTTTTTGAGAACCAAAACAATGTTTACTTTAGAACAAACTAGCCAGAATCCCATTATTCGATAACCACATAAGAAGAGGTTTAGGACTCGGTTGAGGTCAAAAAAAAAAAAAAAAGGGTTAGGACTGTGTTTGGGAGTGAAGCCACGATGGAAAAAGTAGAGCTACCAGTTCACAACCATCCTTTGATACCTTTTACTCGCTTCCATCATGGCCTTTGTACAGGGTGCTGGTCTGATTCTGATGGTTACATTTATGGAGGCTACATTTGCAATGAATTAGGGTGTAATTCTGTGTTCCACAAAGAGTGTGCCGAGTCCGCAGCGGAGATAAACCATCATTCCCACCCCAATCATCCTCTCAAACTTTTCTTGGCTTACAAACCATTTGATTGCTCTTTGTGTGGAGATTCACCGAGAGTTGGTTATTCTTGTTCAATTTGTGACTTCAAGTTAGATTTGAGCTGTGCGAGGCAACCACCCCAACCCGCAGCTCTTGAAGATTTTAAGGTGCACGAACATCCACTTATATTGTCCAATCGAAGAGAGGTTGAGTTAACTTTGCTTAAGAGCAACTGTAAGGTGTGTGAGACGTCATTTTTCAACAGCAGGCAAATCTATCATTGTCATCAATGCGATTTTCTATTTCATAAGGAATGTGTCGAGCTTTTTCCGGAAGCATACCACACTTGTCATCCCAAACATCCGCTCAAGTTCCTCACATGCGGAACACCTGGTTACGCCGAACAGATATGTCTTCTCTGCGGGAAAGAATTTGAAGAACAACTTCACCACTGTGATGTTTGTAACTTCAGTATTTGCAAGAGGTGTGCGAGAAACCCACCACCACTTGGTGTTGTAAGCCCGAAAACCCATGAGCATACACTTCACCTTGTTCCAAGAGTTGTTGATTTTACTTGCAATGCTTGTGGAACGCAAGGGGACCGAAGCCCTTATTTTTGTCTTCAGTGCAATTTCATGATTCATAGAGATTGTATTGATTTACCACGGGTCATCAACATCAACCGTCATGATCATCGAATCTCTTACACTAGTTATCTTGGACATGGGAGCTGGACATGTGGGGTTTGTCGTAAAAAGGTTGATGGGTTCTACGGGGCTTATTTTTGCTCAAAATGTCCTAGTTATGCTGTCCATTCAAGATGTGCAACGAGGTACGACGTATGGGACAAGATAGAACTGGAAGGGACACCCGAAGATATAGAAGATATTGCGCCTTTTATAGTGATTGATGATTACACGATAAAGCATTTTAGCCATGATCATAATTTGAAACTCAACAAAGATGGTGGTATTCTCCAAGAAGACAAACTATGTGAAGCATGCGTCTTCCAAATCTACAATGATCCATATTATAGCTGCGAGCAATGTGATTTCGTTTTACATGAAACATGCGCTAACATGTCTCGAAAGAAGCGGCATGTTTCGAACAACATACCCTTCACACTCGAGACGGACAGTAGCAGAGACTCACCTCGCCAACAAAATCAATGTACTATATGCAACAAGTATTTCACTGGTTTCAGGTACACATCTACTTATCTAACTCTAGATGTTTGGTGTGGTTCATTTTCTGAACCCTTTTTCCACAAAAGCCATCCGCATCCTTTATATTACAAATACGAAAGACATAGGAGTCCTGATGCAAATGGTGAATACCAATCATGCCATATGTTGTGTTGTGATGAATGTCCCTTTACTATGGACTTCAAGTGTGCATTTCTACCGACAAAGGTTATGAAGCATAGGTATGACGATCATCCACTCATCCTATCATACGGTGAAGACAATGTAGATGCATCATATTGGTGCAATGTATGTGAAACAAAACTAGATCCAAAGGAGTGGTCCTATACATGCGATGATTGTGGAGTCAATTTGCATGTCTCGTGTGTTGTAGGAGACTTCTCGTATCATATGCCAGGACACATAGCTTCAAGAGAAAGCTCATATGGGGTAGTGGTAGCCAACATTTCTATTTGTAGACCTCATTGCTTCAAGTGTCGCTCTCGATGCTTCCTCCCTTTCATTCTCAAATTTTCCAGGCCCAACGTCGATGTTTACTTTTGTAAACTACGTTGTTATACAGACTATTTTGGATTCCCGAGATATCTCTAGAATGTTGTTCGTTGGTGATTTGTGGTTTAATAATATTGCTTCAGCATCATTGTTTAAAATGGGGCAGACAAAAACAGAACAGAGCCCTGTTAGAGAAAACCACAGCTACAATTACAAATACTGCTAAGTAGTGACTAGAGAACCCTCTGTTTTAATAAGAATCATGAACTGAAGCGTAAAGCAGTGTGATTCTGATACATACATATAAAGTATATATACACTTAGAGGATTTGTATCTCTGAGATGTGAAAGAACAGAGAAGAAGAAGAAAACAGAGCAAAAATTGGGTTGAAGAAACAAGATCACATTTAAAAGAAGTGGCAGAGATGATAAACCATGTAAATATATATGTTGTTGCCTTTGCAACTTTGGAGACTACTCTTGGAGGTTCAGAATTAACCGCCACCAACATCCGTTGTCGCCTTTTCTCCTTCCTTTCTTTCCGACTTTCCGTAAGATATGAATCAGGGTTAAGGACTGCAAAGGCATATGAAAGAATTCCTCTGTAAGTTAATAAATTTGTGAACTTTTAAGAGCTTTTCAGACGAGTAACGACGCTTTCAAAGACAGAAAGTTCAAGAAAAATGAAACATGGAAACTGCTACGCAAACTCTTAAAAAGCTCGATGTACAGCAAATGAGCCGCTATCATAATCCAAATTTAAGAAACATGAGATTCGATGAAAGCTAGTCATGGACTTTTATGAGATGCAAGAACTTTAACTACAATATCGCAGATGAAACTGATATAGCTAGCTGAGATTCTGAAACAAAGAGGAAGTTCAACGGTTTTGAGAAACACTCAAATCTATACCTCTTTCTATTCAAAAGAACCGCGACCTGCGATCCACAGGCTTAAGAATTTGGAAAGAGCACATTAAACTTTCGTCCACACTCATTAATGCACCCGCATTGTCAAATTCACCACAGTAGTTTGGAGCAGAAAACATAGTCACAAGCTGTCTATCAGCAAAGAACTCATACCCATCTTCTACAACCTGTGGGAACATTACAGGTTCTTAAGCACAGATTCGATTTCCCAAACCAAAAAAAAAAAACTAGAGGAAACATTTATACAATGTACTAACCTGGTGGGCACGACAGACTAAATCCATATCGTTTTTTATCAGAAACTCAGCAACTTTGTCAGCACCAAAAGTGTAGGAGACACCACGATCATTCATCCCCCAGCCTTTGACGTCTTTACTAGGATCAGACCAAAGAAGGTCACAGAGCAAACCAGAGTCTGGAACATCAATTGGACGCTCTATGTTCTTAATCTGTTCCACATTGATCAAATCAGGAGATAGTCCACCGTGCATACAAAGGATCTTTTCGTCTATGACAGCAGCCACAGGGAGGCAGTTAAAAGTGTCTGTAAATACTTTCCAGAGCTTCACGTTGAACCTTCGTTTACATTCGTCATAGAATCCGTAGATTCTGTTAATAGATGCACACTCATGGTTTCCTCTTAAGAGAAAAAAGTTTTCGGGGTATTTGATCTTGTAAGCTAGCAGAAGACAAATAGTCTCCAAACTCTGCTTCCCACGGTCAACGTAATCTCCTAAGAATAAGTAGTTTGCTGCAGGAGGGAAACCTCCATACTCGAACAGCCTCAATAAATCTGAGTATTGACCATGAATATCACCTGAAACGATACAAAGACAAAAGCTACACATCAACCTAGGAATTCACCGGAATCATCACAAAGGATATTTCAGTTGAAGATAAACGAAGATAGCAGCAAGAGAATTTGCTAATATCGAAGCAATGCGTTTTTGCCAAGAAGTACCAAAAATGAACTTGCTTTCCCTCACAAAACCAAGACTATCAATTGGCTAGAGACAAATGTTACAATCAACCTAGCAATCAGATTATCCTAAACATCTCTCTCTCTTCTCTATTCTACATTCCCACAAAACTAAACTCATCTCCTCCAAGAAAAATGCAAACTTTTTCATTAAAAACTAAATAAGAGAAGGCAAGATGATGATACACACAATCATGAAAATTCTCAGATCCCAAAGCGAACAAACAGAGAAAAAAAAAGCTGATAAATCGAGACAGAAGGTAAATACCACAGATCTTAACAGGGGCAGCGAGCTCAAGAAGACAAGGCTGTTGAAGAAATATATCTCTGGAGACAAAACAAAGCTGTCGGATCTCAGAATCGTTGAGCATAGCTTGTTTGGTCCCAGCTTTAGGGTTTCTGTAATCAAGTAAACGTCGAATGATGTCGTCGAGAACAGCAGGGTCCATGCTTCCCTGCCCTTGTTGCGCCATTCACTCACTTACCCACCTTCCAAGTTTCAATCTTTCGGATAGAATTCGATCGCCAATAAAAGAAAAAAAATCAAAATCAAAAATTTCAAAATCTGAAACGAAAAAGTTGTCGCCTTTGTAAAATTTCTCTTCCAAATTTATGATTTGTTTCTCTTGACAAGTAATTTCTCTGATGGGTGCTTTTACGGAAGATGATTTGGCAATCTCTGGGTTTTCTTCTCCATTGGACAGAGAACCAAAAATGCTATTGCTTCTTTTCTTATCGTTATTTTTTCTTTTTTTTTTATCGACGTCGATTTTTGTTGTTATTAATTTATTATTAGCACAAACGACATTCATTTTTTTTTTGTAAAGTTATTTATAATAACGACTTTAATTATACCGCTATTATTGGTAACACGCATAGCGTTTTCTAATACAATTATGCAAGATTTTAATCTGTCAAAAAAATTTACATGATAATAAGTTAATAACCAATATGCATGATTTGCATTTTAACCTAAGAAAATACAAACAAAAACTGATTATGCAGATAAATAAATATATAGTTGCTTATTTTATTATTAATATTTTATTTTGTGAATTTTATTCTCCAAATTTTGATTATGCAAACTTTCGTTATACGATTTATGTCATTAGCGTATATACGATGTTACCAATCAGAGCTTTTATCTTTTTTCAGTCTATACCTCCATCAATGTGTATATATATTAAAAGTTAAGTAATAAGTTCTCAATGGAGACATGTGTTTCATAAAGTACGGTATGGTTCTAATAGTAACAAAAATATATACACTTTATGAAACGCATATCTTCATAAAGTGCGGTGCGGTACAGTGATTTTACAAAAATAATATATAACATGTATTTATTAATATTTGCATATATAATAACTTAATAAAAAAAACTACTAAAATTTGAATATAGATAAAATAACAAATCCTATAATCAGTTCAAATTTTTACCAATCATACTTATAATTATATTAACACAATACTAATTTACAAAAAAATACCCTGGGGCATAGCGCGAATTTTTATTTAGTCTTATACATATAATATTAGCAAACAACATTGGGATAGTGTCATGGTCGACTTGTAAGTTTCAGTGAAAAATTCCATAAAGAAAATCTCATTATACATTAATTACTAAATTTCTTGTTGATATTATAAACTTCAAGAAAAAAAATAATAATAAGAGTTATTGTAAAAAAGTAAATATCCAAAATCATAGTTGTCAAGTGTGCAATTTTTATAAATTTTTTGAAATAATACAATCTGATAGTATTAAATGAATTTACTTTTCTAAATATTGTAAGATCGTTGTAATTAATTTAATCTACACAGTTGGTGACAGGTGTAAAATTTTAGAAACATAACATATAACTTTTTTTTTTGAACAAAAACATATGCTAAATTAGAAAATATATTCATATACTACTACAAAAAAATAGAGAAATATATCCATATAATTGACTTTATTTAAAAGATGAAGACAAAGCACCTTTTTTTGTTAAAGGGTTTGAAGACAAAAGCACACTGCTTTGACCGACCGAGAACTATATATAAACATATGTGTAGATCTCTAGTCTTCAAACATTTTATTTTCTAAAAACTTTTTTTTATATTCCTAAATTTGTTAAGAGTTTAGTAAAATAGTGATTTGCCTTGATATGGATCCGAATAAAATGTTAGAGAAAGTTCTAACAGACTCCGATCTTTCCCACCAAGGTAAGTTATATTTACCAAAAGCGCAGATAGAGAAGATATTAAGTACTATAGAAAATTTTGCGATGCCTCCAAGTGGTTTTCAAGTGGAAGTTTTAGACAACAACAAGAGTTACTCGGTAACAATAAAAAAGACAGTCGTAGATATTATATGTGTTCTGGGTGGACTCAGATCAGAGAAGCAAGAAATCTCAAAACAGGCGATAAAATTAGATTGTATTTACAAGATAACAAATTCATTTTTACTTTTAACTATGCATTGAGTCTTTAACTTTTTTTAAAAAAAAAAGTGTTATCTCCCATTATTCTATTTTAATATATCTATTATAATATTTTGTTGTAAATGTGATCTAAATTCTAAACTATGGGTATGTGAGTATTTTAAGTTTGGACTAGATACAAGTCATTTACTTATTTAATTTATATTTTGTTAAGAATTAATTGTCTGGAAACCATAAAGAAGTAACAAAATTTTACAATATGGCACATTCACAAAGTGTTTACATAAATAAGTATTTTTCGCTTTACAAATGAAGATTCTACCTCCATGTATCCTAGCAAAGATATGTATTCCTCTCCACAGAAACTTCTCAATTGGTGGTTTGAAATCCCAAACACACATGTAAACCCTAAATCAAATCGATTTTAATTGGATTAAGAAAAGAAGAAACGAGACTACAAGTATAGAAGCATACATATAACACGATAAAAAACCAGCAAGAGGACCTAACAGAGAGGAAGAGGAAATATCCAAAAATTAATCCCAAAACAGAACCACAACTATGGATTCAACCCTCGCGAACTACAACCAAAGCTAAAACTAGCAAGAATGAAAAACCAAACGAGTACAAATGATCCCTGTGTATCTCAACCCAATATGTTTGAACATATATTTTCTCAAATTGATTTTTATTAATTTAATTTTATATCAATATATATATATATATATATATTATACTAATTTTTATGTTATTTTGCACATTACAAATCACTAAGAATTTTCGTGTATAGCATTTTGGAACTTAGAATTTTCTAATAAGAAATTATAGTAAGAAACAATTTAGAACTGAAAGCTCTTTTGGTTTGTCTCCAAAAAAAAAAAAAAACAGAAAACTACACACGTTGACAATGTAATTTTCCATGATTTATTATATAAACTCTTTCATGCATGCAATTGGTTAGTTTTGCAAGTTGGCTAGAATGACGTTTTTTTCTTGGTTTCTCCATCACTCCTTTCCTCTGTCTCCATGTATCGTCGTCACTTTCTCTATTTTACTTGAAAATAATACCATTATTTCAAAAATCTTTTAATTTGGTCGGTTCAAAACAACAAAAAATCATGGCCACTATTTATTCATCTGAACTAAATTGGGGTACAATTCTATTATTTGATAATCAAGCAGTTCAGTTGCATTTTAAATTGTGTTGAAGAAGCAAAATTAATTTCTCAAAAAATTTCTTTGGTAATACTAAAATTAATGTTCAGAAAAAAAATCATAATTTTTCTAATATAAAATGATGATAGAAACCTGATTAATTAATTAAAAGAACTGAACAAATCTATATTGGTAGAAGCCTCACAGTGTGTAACATAAGAGATGAATCAATGATTTGATCAAACCAAGCCAAGGCGAACCGGACTAAACCGGAGATGTGAAAATACTTTATAAACCAGAAATGAAGAGAACACACCAACGGGAAGAAGAAGAGAAAGCAAGCACCAGAAGATTCTAAGTATACTACTAACAAGCTTTAAACTGAACACAAACCCCAACCGAAGAGCATAAAAAACAGAGTATTCTACATAGTCTTGCATAGTTACGTTCCATCAGCCAAAACTTGAAAAGAAGAGAAGCCAGTGAAAACAAAAGTTTGAATCTTTGAAGAAGGAACAAACGACATAAACAGTTTACCTTTAGTTTAAGAAGAGCAACATGTCCTTTTCGCGCCTCCAGATGTGTCATCAACGTTAATCGTAGTTCCTTGGCCAGGAATTGCGGAATTAGCTGCTGCTGCTTCTTGTGCAGCCAGTGCCTTTTTGCTTATGATATGGTAGATCTCTCCTAAGATGGTCTGAAAAGCTTTCTCAACGTTTGTTGCTTCAAGAGCAGATGTCTCCAGGAAAGAGAGACCTTCCTTCTCAGCCAAACTTTGACCATCTTCCTCAGCGACGGATCTCAAGTGGTTCAGATCGGATTTGTTCCCAGCCATCATGATCACAATGTTGGAATCTGCATGGTCTCTCAGTTCGCGAAGCCACCTTAAAACATTGTCAAACGTCTGTCTCTTGGTGATGTCATAGACAAGAAGTGCACCCACTGCACCTCTGTAATAAGCACTGGTGATTGCCCTGTACCGCTCCTGACCTGCAGTGTCCCAGATCTGGGCCTTAATTGTCTTTCCTTCAACCTGTGTATCCATAATACATTCACAGAGATTCACAGTAAAAACCAGTTAGATTTAAGTATTGAAGCATTCCCAGGTTTATGAACAAGATTGCTAATGTTTCAACAATCAAAAGTAAAGAACATATATCTTCTCCAGTTGTTAAAACCATCTTAGTTACATTATTAACCATCAACATTTACAACACATATTTCCACATTCAACTACATAAATGTATCATAGAATTCCCCTCGTCAAAATTTGAATGGGTTGACTTTTAGAAAGTATAAAGGTGGACAAGGTCAAGGAATGACAAATGATCAGGAGATACAATGAATTATTGAAAACAAGCTGTGAGAATCTTCTTATTTTTTTCAATTGGCCTTCACGACCATCCATTTATAGTCTTAAAATGAGAAAAACATCTGTCATAACTCATAGCCAGCACAACTAAGATTCTCTCTTGAACAAAAAAAACTTAAGAACACAAAAAAGAAATCAATACACTTCAGTAGCTGAGAAAAAAAACCCGCCATATACTCTGAAAACATACTATTCTTCAGTCTTAAGGAACCAACAGAATCGAAAAACTTAAGACCTATCACTTATTTGCTACCCAAATCAAAGGCACTAAAAGAAGATACAAATTTGAAAGAAACAAAACAGTCTAAAGCTCTAGAGCCATCGCTTGAACTGAACTATCGAATACCTGAATTCTACATTACACTAATAGGGTCATGAAGCTACAAGCCTACAACCAAACCAAAATACATAATTGAAGATAGTAAATCTCTACATAGCAGAGAAAGTAGAAACATTCATGGATTATAGCTAAGATAAACCAGAATCAGAGAACACCTATCCCAAAAATCACAGCTTTAAGCCTTTTAACATATATACCAAACCTAAATCACCATCTCTTCAAATTTCTCTGATTCTAACATCAAATACTCTGAATTCTACTCCTACGCAAGTACGAGAGAAACAGAGAAACATTCGAATCTCACCTGAGTAGTTCTGGTAGCGAATTCAACACCAATAGTGGATTTAGATTCCAAGCAAAACTCATTCCTGGTGAATCTCGACAAGATATTCGATTTCCCAACACCAGAATCACCAATCAGCACAATCTTAAACAAATAATCATATTCTTGATCTACTCTATGCGTCATTTTTCTCCTTAACTCTCCGATCTCGCAATCAAACCTACACATTCGAACACAAAAAAACAAACTTTATCAGTTTTCTCTTGAACCAAACCCAGATCCAACGAAATTAAGACGAACCCACAAGTAATTCAGAAGACGAACAACGATTCGTGTACCTTAATGGCGGATGAATCGAGAAAAAAAAATCGAATTTTTCAGATCTATAAAGGAAGAAACTTTGATTAAGAGAGGCTTTAAATGTTTGTTCTGTCCCCAAATCAATGGAGGAAAAATGGAAAATTTCTTGTTTAATTTGTTGGGCTTCGTCTTCTTCTTTGAGAGAGAAAGAGGAGATGAGCAATAAAGTGAATATACGGTGTATCTATACGTATCTGTATGTCAGGGATTAGTAAACGTCGTCGTGTTTAAGAAAAAGACAAAGACTTCAGTTATCGTGTTGATGTGGCAACTAATGATTCGTTAGCAGGCTGGCAAAAGTAAGAGCATGTTCCAAAGGGTATTATTGGAAATGTAATTTTGAGCTTTATAATTGCGTTAGAGCAATGATTGTTATTGTGAGTGTGGTAATGATCATAAGCCACGTCAATTTGAACATGAAAATGTCGAATAACACAACTTCAATAGAAGAAGAAAAAGAATGATAAGTGGAGTTGATGAATTGACCAATCAATAATTTTGTAAGGAATTCAAGATTGAGTGTGTTTTTATTAGTCTACGGTTCTCTCTTAAAGGTTTTCTAGCAAACCGGGATTAAGCTGATCCATATAATTAAACAATGTGGTGGTTCCGGTGGCGATGGGAAACTGAGATGGTAGTCGAAGATCCCAAGGTAGATAGATTCGATGGAAGAGGTCAATAGGTCATGTGGCGGCTTAGAAGGCAACATGCTACAAGTCTAGTGGAAAATACGTCGGACATTATGGTGGTAATAGCTACAGAGGAGGAGACTATGTCTTGTGTGCGACACATAGAATGTTGCATTCTAATCTGATGAAGATGAGGACGATTAACGCTAAATTATTAATCCCTTAACGTCATACATTTTTTCAACGTAACGTAGTAACGTCATTTTGTTATAAATGTGTCTACTGGGTTTATTAGTCACTAGACATTCGTCATGTGTGATTTTGTGCCCTCTAATAAACCAAGTTCAGTTTCGTGTTATCGTAAAATATATGTTGTTGTTTCCTCCCGTAACGTAATTTCAAAAAGTATATATGACCTATTTAAACATTTTACTTTAGGTTATTAATAATCTTGACGCAATTCTTGCTAATTAGTCTTGACGCAATTGTACGTTGCTTTTGATTTTAATGAAAACAACACAATAGAGGCAATCGTGTTGTCGAAAGAGGAGCCGATACATAGAATTGCAATTTGCAAACATCTATTTGTATATTATATTTGCTTTCTAATTGGATTGTTCACCCTAATTATTAAGAGTACATGTAGTCTCAATATCTAAATTAAATCTATAAATGTAAATATACATATAGAGTTTTCACAAGTGATCATATTTTAAGGATAATATTCGAGTGACAAAAAAAAAGTAACATGTCAGGTAAAATGATGAACCTCCCTCATCACATGATTAGGCTGCCATAATTAATAAACCGAATTCAGAATATACATTCCCAACTTCTCATAATTATGAATTGCCCAAATACTCATTTCTAGTCTTTATATAATCAAATTACAAAAAATCAATTTCTAGTGGTTAGTCAATCTTTTCTTTTGTCAACGAGAATAAATATCAAGTCAAAGGAGGTTCTTTCTATTTATTATTTTTTTCTATATTCATGAACAACAAGACAAGAAAAAAAAAAACGATGCAAGGATTAGTAGAACAAGAAACGGTAGAAATTAAACATTCCATTCAAACCCATAAATATGGAAAATAGTCAAAATACATTATACTGTCATTAATATAATAATAATTAGAGAAACAAATCTTAAAGGACTTTGATTGAGGACTTAGATTGCGTTCTTAGACCATGTACATAATCTCTCCCTATAAATTAATCGTTTCATTCTCACAATCTTATAAATTTGATTATAACTAAATCAATAAAAAAAAATGGCAAAACTTGTTGTCTCCTATTGTCTCCTCTCATGTATATTTGCCTTGCTTGTTGTGAGTTTCGCTTCAGCAGAGAAAGATGATCAAGACAAACAGGTAATTGCACAAATCATTCTTTGTTATTGACTATAATTATAATCATTTCATGGTTCTAATTATATGACTGATGACTAACCATAACTATGATGATGATGATGATGATACTTGTAGGTGTATATAGTATACATGGGTGCACTTCCTGCTCGTGTTGACTACATGCCAATGTCTCATCACACTAGTATTCTTCAAGATGTCACCGGCGAGAGGTGCACTGGATTTATTCAATTTTATAGATATTAATGTGGTTATTTGTATATATGGTTTCATGTCTATCAACCAAAATCCATGGACCCTCTAACAAATGTATTTCTTATTTGTAGTTCGATCGAGGATCGTTTGGTTAGGAACTATAAAAGGAGTTTCAACGGATTTGCGGCCCGGCTAACCGAATCCGAAAGAGAGATACTAGCTAGTAAGTGAACTATTAAATGGATTATCCGACCCGAATGTTTTCAAAAACACTTATCAAATCTCAAATTACATTTCTTCTCTATGAAATAATTAATTAACTCTATGTGTTGTAATTGTTTTGCTATTTCTTAATGTTCAATTTCTTAGGTATGGACGAAGTTGTGTCTGTGTTTCCTAACAAGAAACTAAAGCTCCAAACAACAACGTCATGGAATTTCATGGGCCTCAAGGAAGGCAAAAGAACGAAGCGAAACGCTATCATAGAGAGCGATACAATTATCGGTGTCATTGACAGTGGAATCTACCCTGAATCAGATAGTTTTAGTGGCAAAGGCTTTGGTCCTCCTCCTAAAAAATGGAAAGGTGTTTGCGAAGGCGGAAAAAACTTCACTTGCAACAAGTATAAAACCCTTTTGAATTTGATCATACATTTAAATTGTGTAATGATTTTTCAATTGCTTAGTTGAAAAGAATGTGAATTTGTTTGTTGTATGTATAGCAAGCTTATTGGAGCACGGTACTACACACCCAAACTAGAGGGTTTTCCTGAGTCAGCAAGGGACTACATGGGACATGGATCGCATACAGCATCCACCGCGGCTGGGAACGCCGTGAAGCACGTGAGCTTTTATGGACTTGGTAATGGAACAGCCAGAGGTGGCGTTCCAGCTGCAAGAATAGCGGTTTATAAAGTATGTGACCCTGGCGTTGATGGGTGCACAACTGACGGAATTCTAGCCGCATTTGACGATGCCATAGCGGATAAGGTGGACCTCATTACCATATCCATTGGTGGGGACAAAGGTTCGCCTTTTGAGGTGGACCCGATCGCGATCGGGGCTTTCCATGCCATGGCCAAGGGAATCCTCATAGTGAATTCCGCAGGAAACAGTGGTCCAGAACCTAGTACAGTCGCGAGCATTGCGCCGTGGATCTTCACTGTTGCTGCTAGTAATACTAACCGTGCGTTTGTCACCAAAGTTGTTCTCGGAAACGGCAAGACGGTTGTGGTAAGGAAATTGTGGAAGAATATTTGTTCCTTTAAGACAACACATTATCGTACATATATTGTCGTCTTGTAACATTACTGCTTGTTGCGAAACAGGGAAGATCGGTAAATTCGTTTAATCTTAACGGAAAGAAGTACCCTCTAGTATACGGAAAATCAGCTTCAAGTAGTTGTGATGCTGCTTCCGCCGGGTAACTACCATCCCAAGAAACATTATTTTTTTGTATCTATTTTGCTCTTCACATGAGGGTTTAAAGGGTAATTGCGGTTTCAGGTTTTGCTCAGCAGGGTGTCTAGATAGTAAACTAGTGAAAGGAAAGATTGTGTTATGTGATTCCTCGCAAAATCCCGAAGAAGCTCAAGCTATGGGAGCCGTCGCATCCATTGTTAGGAGCCGCAGTGCAGACTTTGCAAGTATCTTCTCTTTTCCAGTCTCTATACTATCGGAAGACGAATATAACACTGTTCTCTCGTATATGAACTCCACCAAGTAATTTCCCCTATCTCTGTTTTATTATATTTCTTACAAATACTCCATCTTAAAGCTCAAACTTTTTTTTGTCTTGGCCAGAAATCCCAAAGCTGCTGTTCTAAAAAGTGAGACAATCTTTAACCAGAGAGCTCCCGTGGTGGCTTCCTACTCTTCCCGTGGCCCAAACACAATCATTCCTGACATTTTGAAGGTATATATAGAAAAAGAGAAAATTTAAATTACTATGTATCGGTCATTTTAACAGTTCTGCGTTTAACTAAAAGTGAATTTGTATTGCAGCCGGATATAACAGCGCCAGGATCAGAGATCTTAGCTGCTTATTCTCCTGATGCCCCACCAAGCAATTCAGATACAAGACGTGTAAAGTACTCAGTTGAGACCGGAACTTCAATGTCTTGCCCGCATGTTGCTGGTGTAGCTGCCTACCTAAAATCATTTCACCCACGCTGGTCTCCTTCCATGATCCAATCCGCCATCATGACTACCGGTAAGCGAAAACAAATCCACTCACAACATAACTTTCTTGTACTGCAAGAAAACTTATTATACTCTGTTTTTTGGTGTTTCATGTAGCTTGGCCAATGAATGCATCAACTTCTCCGTTTAACGAGTTGGCCGAGTTTGCTTACGGAGCTGGCCATGTCGATCCCATAACTGCAATTCATCCTGGACTAGTCTATGAAGCTAATAAAGCCGACCATATCGCCTTTCTCTGCGGATTGAACTACAATGGAAAGAAATTAAGGCTCATCTCCGGTGATAAGAGCAGTTGCACTAAAGAACAGACCAAATCGCTACCCCGAAACTTAAACTATCCTTCACTGACTGCTCAAGTATCGGCGGCAAAACCGTTCAAAGTGACTTTCCGTAGAACAATCACTAACGTTGGTAAGCCTAACGCTACATACAAAGCAAAGGTAGTCGGATCTAAGCTCAAAGTCAAGGTTATTCCAGATGTCTTGTCTCTAAAGTCATTGTACGAGAAAAAGTCCTTCACCGTAACCGTTTCAGGTGCGGGTCCCAAAGCTGAAGAGCTTGTGTCGGCACAGCTGATCTGGTCTGATGGTGTCCACTTTGTGAGAAGCCCCATTGTTGTTTATGCTACGAACTGATGAGTCAGTTAATGTTTCTATTTGTTCATGCTATATGTTTTTTTTTTTTGTTTGTGGTTCCTCTTCCCATTTTAGTTATAAACATGAAATCTAATTATTTGCCTGTTCTAATAAAAACCTTGTTGGTTCTAAATTTCAAAATGGTCATGAGAGTTTTGATTTAATTTGGAGAATGATCGATATAATTGTTTTCTTAAAAAAAAGATATTTGATTAGAATCACATTCTACTCTTAAAATTTTAAGCTTTCGTCTTCTCCTTAATTAGGTATATGTAACGCTAATTAAGGTTTTGAGTTTTGTAGTATATCTATTGTTTTATACAGTTCTTAGTTTCTTTGGTACTAGTTTATTATCTCTCTAGAAAGTATAGATACATCGTCTGCAAAATTAATTTAAATAAATAGAATCGCGTGGAGGATATTTCGTTCATGTAAGGTCAAATGATAAACCTCTGCCATAATAAACCGAATTCAGAATATACATTCCCAACTTTCCATAATTTTTGAATTGCCTAAATAATACTCATTTCTGTAAGACTCTAGTCATAATAAAATTAAACTATTCTTACCAAAAAAAATAAAATTAAACTATAAAAAGAAATCCATTTCTAGTGAGGTTTTAGTGGTTATTAAGAAGAATAAACAGTTTTTATTTATAAATGAGAATAAATATCAAGTCAAAGGAGGTTATTTATTTATCAAGTCTTTTCTTTGTCAATGAGAATAAATATCAAGTCAAAGGAGGTTCTTTCTATTTAATATTTGTTCTATATTCATGAAAACAATACAAAAAAAAAAAAGATAATCCAACTATGCAAGGATTAGTAAGAACGAGAAACGGTAGCAAATTAAACGGTCCATTCAAAACCATAAATATAATTATAATTAGAGGAACAAATCCTAAAGAACTTTGATTGCGTTCTTAGACCATGTACATCATCTCTCACTATAAATAATTGTTTCATTCTCACAATCTTATAAATTTTGATTATAACTAAATCAATAAAAAAAAAAATGGCAAAACCTGTTGTCTCCTATTGTCTCCTCTCATGTATATTTGCCTTGCTTGTTGTGAGTTTCGCTTCAGCAGAGAAAGATGATCAAGACAAACAGGTAATTCCACAAACCATTCTTTTTTATTGATTATAATTATAATCATTTCATGGTTCTAATTATATGACTAATGACTAACCATAACTATGACGATGATGATACTTGTAGGTGTATATAGTATACATGGGTGCACTTCCTGCTCGTGTTGACTACATGCCAATGTCCCATCACACTAGTATTCTACAAGATGTCACCGGCGAGAGGTGCAATTTTGTAGATCATTGCTAATGTAATTATTTGTATATGGTTTCATGTCTATATATCGATCAAGAATTCATAAATCCTCTAACAAATGTATATCTTTTTTTCGTAGTTCGATCAAGGATCGTTTGGTTAGGAGTTATAAAAGGAGTTTCAACGGATTCGCAGCCCGGCTAACCGAATCAGAAAGAGCGATACTAGCAAGTAAGTGCATTACTAAACGGACTGTTAGACCCGAAATTTCCAAATTTTAGCGAGACTCAAAAATTACTATTATTCTCTATGCAATTAATCAACTCTATATGATTTAATTGTTTTTCTCTACTTCTTATTCATTTTCTTAGATATGGACGAAGTTGTATCTGTGTTTCCTAGCAAGAAACTAAAGCCCCAAACAACAACCTCGTGGAATTTCATGGGTCTCAAGGAAGGCAAACGTACAAAGCGAAACTCGCTCATAGAGAGCGATACAATCATCGGTGTCATTGACAGTGGAATCTACCCTGAATCGGACAGCTTCAGCGGCAAAGGCTTTGGTCCTCCTCCTAAAAAATGGAAAGGTGTTTGCGAAGGCGGCGAAAACTTCACTTGCAACAAGTATAAAACCCTTCAAAGTGAACATACTGCGTAAGGATTTGTCATTTTTGTAGTCGAAATGAATGTAAACGATCTGTTTGTTGTATATAGCAAGCTTATTGGAGCACGGTACTACACACCCAAACTAGAGGGGTTTCCTGAGTCCGCAAGGGACAACACGGGACATGGCTCGCACTGTGCATCCACAGCGGCTGGAAACGCTGTGAAGCATGTGAGCTTTTACGGGCTCGGTAATGGAACTGCGAGAGGTGGCGTTCCAGCTGCAAGAATAGCGGTTTATAAAGTATGTGACCCTGGCGTCAATAGATGCACAGCTGAAGGAATTCTAGCCGCATTTGACGATGCCATAGCGGATAAGGTGGACCTCATTACCATATCCATCGGTGCGGATTACGCTGGTCAATTTGAGGAGGACACCCTCGCGATCGGGGCTTTCCATGCCATGGCCGAGGGAATCCTCACTGTGAGTGGAGCAGGAAACAATGGTCCAGAACGTAGCACGGTCGTGAGCGTTGCGCCGTGGATCTTCACTGTTGCTGCTAGTAATACTAATCGCGCGTTTGTCACCAAAGTTGTTCTCGGAAACGGCAAGACAATTGTCGTGAGTCCCAAGAAACAAATCTTTGTTACTTTAAGACAACACGTTAGCGTACATATCATGTCCTCTTTTAACATTACTGCTTGTTGCGAAACAGGGAAGATCGGTAAATTCGTTTGATCTTAACGGAAAGAAGTACCCTCTAGTATACGGAAAATCAGCTTCAAGTAGTTGTGATGCTGCTGCAGCCAGGTAACTACCATCCCAAGAAACATTATTTTTGTATCTATTTTGCTCTTCACATGATGGTTTAAAGGGTAATTTCGGTTTAAGGTTTTGCTCACCAGGGTGTCTAGACAGTAAACGTGTGAAAGGAAAGATTGTGTTATGTGATTCCCCACAAAATCCCGAAGAAGCTCAGGCTATGGGAGCCGTCGCGTCCATTGTTAGGAGCCCCAGTGAAGACGCGGCAAGTATCTTCTCTTTTCCAGTCTCTGTTCTATCGGAAGACGACTATAACATTGTCCTCTCATATATGAATTCCACAAAGTACTTAGCCTCTATCTCTGTTTTATTATATTTCTTACAAAAATCCCATCTTAAAGCTCATTTTTTGTCTTGGCTAGAAACCCCAAAGCAGCTGTTCTGAGAAGTGAGACAATCTTTAACCAGAGAGCTCCTGTCGTGGCTTCCTACTCTTCTCGTGGCCCAAACCCAATCATTCATGATATTTTGAAGGTATATACAGAAAAGGAGAAAATTTAAATGACTCGTATTGGTCATTCTAACAGTTCTGCGTTCGATTGAATGTGAATTTGTATTACAGCCGGATATAACAGCGCCGGGATCAGAGATTCTTGCTGCTTATTCTCCTTATGCCCCACCAAGCGTATCAGATACAAGACATGCAAAGTACGCAGTTCTTAGCGGAACTTCAATGGCTTGTCCCCACGTTGCTGGTGTAGCCGCCTACCTAAAAACGTTTCACCCACGCTGGTCTCCTTCCATGATCCAATCCGCCATCATGACTACCGGTAAGCAAAAACAAATCCACTCTGTTAGAAGCATACTCTTTTTTTTCACCCACAACATAACTTTCTTGTATTGCAAGGAAACTTATGATACTCTGTTTTTTTTTGGTGTTTCTTGTAGCTTGGCCAATGAATGCATCAACTTCTCCGTTTAACGAGTTGGCCGAGTTTTCTTACGGAGCGGGCCATGTCGATCCCTTAGCTGCAATTCATCCTGGACTAGTCTATGAAGCTAATAAATCCGACCATATCGCCTTTCTCTGCGGCTTGAACTACACTGGAAAGAAACTAAGGCTCATCTCCGGTGATAGCAGCAGTTGCACTAAAGAACAGACTAAATCGCTACCTCGAAACTTAAACTATCCTTCAATGACTGCTCAAGTATCGGCGGCAAAACCGTTCAAAGTGAATTTCCGTAGAACAGTCACTAACGTCGGTAGGCCTAACGCTACATACAAAGCAAAGGTAGTCGGATCTAAGCTCAAAGTCAAGGTTATTCCAGACGTCTTGTCTTTTTCTTCATTGTATGAGAAGAAGTCCTTCACGGTAACCGTTTCAGGCGCCGGTCCCAAAGCTAAAAAGCTTGTGTCTGCACAGCTGATCTGGTCTGATGGTGTCCACTTTGTGAGAAGCCCCATTGTTGTTTATACTAACTGATGAGTCAGAACCAGTTAATGTTTCTATATGTTATTTTCAGTTATGAATTTATGATAGTTAATTCTTACTGCTCATGCTACGTTGTTTTGAATGTTTCCGATTCCTCCACCCATTTTAGTTATAAGCGTCAAATCTAATATTTTGCTTGTTCTACTAAAAACCTTGTTGGTTCTAAATTTCAAAATGGTCATGAGAGTTTTGTTTTAATTTGGAGAATGATCAATATAGTACTAATTTTTCTTTAAAAAAAGGGATATTAGTTAGAATCGATCAAATTCTACTTTTAAAATTTTACGCTTTCGTCTTCTCCTTAATTAGGTATTTGTGACGCTAATTAATGTTTTGAGCTGAGTTTTGTAGTATATATCCCTATAGAGTTTTTTACACTACTCTCTTCTCAAGTTTCTTAATTTATGTTATTATACTTCTCAGTGATTAACAGAGCGTGTTTTCCTTCCTATTCATCCATAAAAATTGAATCATGTTGGGTATAGGAGATTTATGATTATTTTTTTAGAATGAATAGAATTACTTATTTTACCTTAATTAATTCATGAAAAAGAAGAAACTTCAAAGTTATTTTTGAGTAAATGCCTTCAAAGTTCAAACTTCAAATACATAGGCAAATATGCATTAATATTTTTAACAGAAAAAACCAATTTTTGCCAAGTTTTTGAACTCACCTTAAAGTCATAAATATTTTTTACATATGTTTTGTTTAATCTATTCTTTTTTATTTGCTTATGTTTTGCTTAGGTTCTGCACGCCAAGTTGTCTAGAGTCTAGACAGTAAAGGAAAAATTGTGTTATGCGATTCCGAGCCGTAACTCGATGAAATTTACTCTAAGGGAGCCTTAACGTCCATAGTTAAGGGCAATTGAGAAAATTTGGCAGCTATCTATGAAGCTAATAAATCTGATAACTACAATTCATCCTAGACTTTGATGATGCGATTTTACTATTTCCAAAGGGTGTAGGGATAACAACATTCCATCTGCATTTGATGATGCGATAGCGGACAACATAGACCTCATCAGCATCTCAATTGGTACGATGGTAGGTTTGCCATTCGACGAGGACCCGATCGCCATCAGGGCTTTCCATGCCATGGCCAAGGAAATCCTCACAGTGAATTCCGCAGGAAACAGTGGTCCACAACCTAGCACGATTTCTAGCACTTCTCCGTGGATCTTCACTGTCGAAGCTAGTAATACAAACCGGGCGTTTGTCACCAAAGTTGTTCTCGGAGATGGCAAGACAATTGTTGTGACTACCAAGAAACTTGTTTTCGTTAAGACGGACATCATATTCGTACATATCTTGTCCTTATTCTTACATGGTTACGGGAAAACAGGGAAAAAGGTAAATTATTTTCATCTGAACGGAATAAAGTATCCTCTGGTAATACAGTGGATCAACTTCAAGTAGGTGCGATGCTGCTTCCACCGGGTAACTTCCATCCCAAGAAACATTTATCTTCGTATTTATTTACACTTCACATAGTGGGTTCAAATGGTTTTTGTGGTTTCAGGTTTTGCTCACCAGGGTGTTTAGACAGTAAACGTGTAAAAGGAAAGATTGTGTTATGTGATTCCCCGCAAAATCTCGAAGAAGCTCAAGCTATGGGAGCCATCGCATCCATTGTTAGGAGCCGCCATGCAGACGTGGCAAGTATCTTCTCTTTTCCAGTCTCTCTTCTATCGGAAGACGTTTATAACATTGTCCTCTCATATATTAACTGGACAGAGAAATCCTAGATAATAAGGTAGTTAACGTGATCAACCTAGGAAATGATTGATCTCTTTCTTTTTCTTAAACGATTTTCAATAATGGCAAATTAACGATTTTTTGGTAAGTGGTTTTATATGGAAACAAATAAGGTTGTAGTTTGAATACGAAAACTAAAAAATAAGGATATCAAATCAAGAATTCATTTTTGTATTCATAATACATATATATGTTTCCATATGAAGTATATAACAATTGTATATATATGACGAGAAAATCAATAGACAGAGCTCAAGTAAAATAAAAAGCAATCAAGTTGTATTAGTTGAAAGAGAAATAAGAAGAGATGTATCGCTATCCTCCATGTTTGTCTACACATTGCGAAGATCCAGAGTGTTGTTCTATGGGTATGCTTTCCATTCTTTTTTTGTTCTTCTTTTTGTTGATGTTATATCTTCAATTCTCAATATTCTATTACACTCTATATATATTACTATTTTTAACACAACATAATTTTCCAGGAAAGAAGTGTAGGTGGCCAGAACTGGTTGGAAAAAATGGCGAAATGGCGAAAATGACGATCGAAAGAGAAAATCCTAATGTGTTAGCGATTGTCATTCGATATGGAGACGGGCGGATTGAAGACTTTTGCTGCAACAGGGTCTTTGTTTATTTAGGTTCCAACGGCCATGTTGCAGTCGCTCCTATGATCGGTTGATCCTTTTACCATTCTTGGTAATAATAAAAACAATCATCAATAATACATCACGGCATTTACTATTACTTCTTATTTCTTTTGTGTAAAATGAAAATTTTCATCAATACAAAAAAAAGATGAACAAATTAAGTATACATGTGAAAGTTCATTTTCCGTCACAAATAAAATCCTAGAAACAACATTATGTATCTAGAAGTTATAACGCTACTATATGTCTTGTCTTCCAAGTTTGCTTCTCAATTTTCATGCCACGGTCATTACTGTTCATGCTATGTTATTGTTTATGATGGTTCCCTACCTACTTTTGTTCTAAACATCTAGTTCGATTATTCGCGTGTTCTTTGCATTAGTTTTTCTGTGCTAACTAAAACCCTGTTGACGCTAAATATCAAAAGAGTCATGAGAATTATCAAATGAGGTTTGATGTTAATTATTTGGTGAACTATTGAAAAGCATTATACAGAAACAGAACGCTGTCGTTTATGAAAATTGTCCATCTGCTAGATTAGAAACATATTGAAACGGTTTCCTTTTCTGCAGTTCACTACCGAGGAATCAGAGGTACTATATTGGAATTATGGATGTGTGATCCAATTAAAATCTTTAATTGCTAAATACGAAATTATTCTTAGGAAATAAATTTTATACTATAGGAAAAGAGAAGGAAATAAAATGATTCGTTTTTTAAATGGATATATGCTTTTAATTAGGATTCAACAATATGCAAAAGAACATTACGATTTTTTTCAGCTTTAGGTCATAGACTCATAATTGCCTTAGATTTTGAAAGTGAAATTTCCCAACTTGCATCTTTTAAAAAAGCGGTATGGATGATTGCAAATATATTAATCCGAAATAAATTATTTTTACAATCATCACCAAATTTCTTGAACCCTCTTGTTCTTTGGGCGCAGCTCATGGGTGACGGGTGACCTATATATATTTTTTTAATAAAAGGGTTTATTTTGCAATTTTCCCAATTCATGTTATAGCTTTCCAAAAGTCTAGGCAATAAGACAATAATGATTATTGCTTTCATCAGAATTGTGAAAATTATATGGGTCTGAAGGTTTGGTATAGTGCGCCTTATGAAATCATATCATCATTACTCACTGATAACCATGCATGTGTATTGGAACTTTTTTCAAAATTTAAAGACAAAAAATTAAAAACAAAATCTTTCCCCTACAAATACAACCGTTGCATTATCCTAAACTTACAAAATAGAAAATGTCGAAAATTTATTTCCTCTTGGTTTGTCTCGCTCTCTTGTTTCTGAATTTCTGCTCAGCAGGGAATGACCAAGAAAAACAGGTAGCACAACTATTCCCCCTCATCGTGATTTTGTTTTTGTTTTTTTTGTTAGTGTAATTACATGACTTATGAGATTATGAATATGATTATGAATTTATGATGATGATGATGATGCTACTTGTAGGTATATATCGTTTACATGGGTGCATTTCCTGCTGGTGTTGACTACATGCCTATGCCCCATCACACTAATATTCTTCTAGATGTCACCGGAGAGAGGTGCAATGAACTAATCAGTTTTATAGATCAGTGTTAATGTGATTATTTGTATGTGGTTTCATGTAGTCTATCGATCAAAGTTCTTAGATCTTCTAACACATGTATTACTTTTTTTTAGTTCGGTTGAGGATCGTTTGGTTAGGAACTATAAACGGAGTTTCAACGGATTTGCCGCCTGGCTAACCGACTCCGAGAGAAAAAAAGTTGCAAGTAAGTGACATGGCATTCATTATACGACCTGAAAAAATTGTATATTCATTGAAATATTACATTGATGATTGATGAATCTACTACATGGTTGGTTATTACTATTATTCCTTTTTTTGTGTGTTCACTGATTTTTAGAAGTATCAATGTATCAACATGATCCGAAAAGCATCATACAGAAAAAGCTATGGGTTTGTGAATATTTTCATCTCATAGAAACATATTAAAACGGTGTCGATTTTGAGGTTCACAAACTAGAAATCAGAGTACTTACTGGAATTATGAAAATGTGTAAACTATTATTGTTGTTAGATCCTTAAAAGTAACATTATTTGTTTTACTAATTCATCTTCAAACATTAGGTATGGACGAAGTGGTGTCGGTGTTTCCCAACAGTATCCAGCAGCTCCAAACGACGTCGTCATGGAACTTTCTTGGTCTTAAGGAAGGCGAAAGGACGCACCGAAACTCAATCACCGAGAGCAATACCATAATCGGAGTGATCGACAGTGGTATTTGGCCAGAATCGGAAAGCTTTAGCGACAGGGGCTTTTCTCCTCCTCCTAAGAAATGGAGAGGTGCTTGTGAAGGCGGCAAAAACTTCTCTTGCAACAGGTACAAATCTACTCAAATTGATCAACGATAAACTAAATGTTTTTTCAATGTTTTAGTTGAAATGAATGTTAATAATCTGTTTGACTGTTTGTTGTTTATAGCAAGCTCATTGGAGCACGATACTATGGGCTTGAGTCAGCTAGGGACAAATTAGGCCATGGGTCGCACACTGCATCCACGGCAGCTGGAAACGCTGTAAAGGACGTGAGCTTTTACGGACTCGGAAACGGAACCGCCAGAGGTGGTGTTCCAGCCCCAAGAATCGCAGTGTACAACGTATGTGATTTCCATGGGTGTAGGAATGACAATATTCTATCTGCATTTGATGATGCGATAGCGGACAACGTAGACCTCATCACCATCTCAATTGGTACGCTAATAGGTTTGCCATTCGAGGTGGACCCGATCGCCATCAGGGCTTTCCATGCCATGGCCAAGGGAATCCTCACAGTAAATCCCGCAGGAAACAGTGGTCCACAACCTAGCACAATCTCTAGCACTGCTCCGTGGATCTTCACTGTTGCAGCTAGTAATACTAACCGTGCCTTTGTCACCAAAGTTGTTCTCGGAAACGGCACGACAATTGTGGTGAGTACCAAGAATTGTTCTCACATAGCTTGAGCTTCTTTGTTCCTTGAGGACAACACATTATCGTACATATCTTGTCCTCTTTTAACATTACTGCTTGTTGCTAAACAGGGAAGGTCGGTAAATTCGTTTGATCTTAACGGAAGGAAGTACCCTCTAGTATACGGAAAGTCAGCTTCAAGTAGTTGTGATGCTTCTTCCGCCAAGTAACTTCCATCCCAAGAAACATTATTTGTGTATCTGTTTTGGCCTTCACATGAGGGTTTAAAGGGTACTTGCGGTTTCAGGTTTTGCTCACCAGGGTGTCTAGACACTAAACGTGTGAAAGGAAAGATTGTGTTATGTGATTCACCACAAAATCCTGATGAAGCTCAAGCTATGGGAGCCGTCGCATCCATTGTTAGGAGCCGCCGTGAAGACGTGGCAAGTATCTTCTCTTTTCCGGTCTCTATTCTATCAGAAGAAGACTATAACACTGTCCTCTCCTATATGAACTCCACAAAGTAATAGCCCATATCTCTGTTTCATTATATTTCTTACACATACTCCATCTTAAAGCTCAAACTTTTTTTTTTCTTTGTCTTGGCCAGAAATCCCATAGCGGCTGTTCTGAAAAGTGAGACAATCTTTAACCAGAGAGCTCCAATCGTGGCCTCCTACTCTTCTCGTGGCCCAAACAGAATCATTCCTGACATTTTGAAGGTACATATAGAAAAGGAGAAAATTTAAATTACTCGTATCAGTCATTCTAGCAGTTCTACATTTGACTGAAAGTGAATTTGTATTGCAGCCGGATATAACAGCGCCAGGATCAGAGATCCTAGCTGCTTATTCTCCTGATGCCCCACCAAGCAAATCAGATACAAGACGTGTAAAGTACTCCGTTGATACTGGAACTTCAATGTCTTGTCCACACGTTGCTGGTGTATCCGCCTACCTAAAAACGTTTCACCCACGCTGGTCTCCTTCCATGATCCAGTCCGCCATCATGACTACCGGTAAGCAAAACAAGATTCACTCTTGTTTTCTGAATATTCTGCTCATTTTTTATTGGAAACATAATGTTCTTGTATTGTAAGAAAGGGTTTTACCATACTCTGTTTTTTTGGGGTCTCTTGCAGCGCGACCAATGAATACATCTACTTCTCCCTTCGATCGTATGGCCGAGTTTGCTTATGGAGCTGGTCTTGTCAGTCCGATAGCCGCAATTCATCCTGGACTCGTCTATGAAGTTACTAAATCCGACCATATCACCTTACTTTGTGGCTTGAACTACACGGCTAAGAATTTAAGACTCATTTCGGGTGAAAACCGCAGTTGCAGTGAAGAACAGAGCCAATCATTAGCAAGAAACCTCAACTACCCTTCTATGACGGCTAAAGTCCCGGCAACAAAACCATTCAACCTGACTTTTCGTAGAACAGTCACAAACGTTGGTATGGCAAAGTCTACTTACAAAGCCCAAGTACTCGGATCAAAACTCACCATCACGGTTGTTCCAGATATCTTGTCACTTGAGTCTATCTACCAAAAGAGGTCATTCACCGTTACGGTTTCAGGCCAAGGTCCCGAAGCTGACAAACTTGCATCGGCACATTTGATATGGTCTGATGGAGTTCATTATGTTAAAAGCCCTATCGTTATTTATGCTACGAACTAATGTGTCAAAATCAGTTCATATCTCTATAGAATTATGATTGATTTTGATTATAATGTTTCTGGTTCCTATATTCCATCTCCTATCGCAGAAGTCCAGAAAACGCTGCCGTTTCTAACAAAGAGAAGCACCTTAAAACGCTGCCGTTTTTGTACGTATCACTACCGTTTGTTGTGTTATTGTGATACAGAGGAGAGTCGACAATTCAAAGTTCACACCTTTAGAGATGTTAGCAATTCGCGTCTTCTCGCGAAAATTCCCAAATTTCGCTTCGATTTTCTTCCAAAACACTACTAGAAATCCGTCAATTCATCGAATATCATTCTCGATTCTAAAACTCAAAACGCTACTTCACCCAATTCCGCCGAAACCCTTCACTGTCTTTGTGTCTCGGTTCCATGACGGGAGACCAAGAGGTCCTCTCTGGAGAGGGAAGAAACTGATCGGAAAAGAAGCCCTTTTCGTGATTCTGGGTCTCAAGAGATTGAAAGACGACGACGAGAAGCTGGACAAGTTTATAAAAACCCATGTTTTCAGATTGTTGAAATTAGACATGTTAGCTGTTATCGGTGAGCTTGAACGACAAGAAGAGACTGCGTTAGCCATCAAGGTGAGTTCTTTACGTGACAATTTCTTTTGGGTCTTTCAGGATTTTTCTTGCTTCGGCTTATTTTAGTTTGATCCCATGTGCTCATGAAGTGTTCGACGAAATGCCTGAACGGAGCTGACATTAGGGTAGTTGTATGGTTAAGTTTTAGACTATCCTTTATGGATCATATACGTATATTCTTATGGTTCTGTGTCGTTTTGGTTCATTGTGTTGTTGATCATTGGTTTCTTCAACTTATAGATGTTTGAGGTAATCCAGAAGCAGGAATGGTACCAACCTGATGTGTTTATGTACAAGGACCTTATAGTATCCTTAGCAAAGAGTAAAAGAATGGATGAAGCTATGGCGTTGTGGGAGAAGATGAAGAAAGAAAACCTCTTTCCTGATTCTCAGACTTATACTGAGGTTATCAGAGGGTTTCTTAGAGACGGATGTCCTGCGGATGCCATGAATGTGTATGAAGACATGTTGAAATCCCCAGATCCGCCGGAAGAGTTGCCGTTTAGGGTTTTGTTGAAGGGGCTTCTGCCGCATCCGCTTCTTAGAAACAAAGTGAAGAAGGATTTCGAAGAGTTGTTCCCTGAGAAACATGCTTATGATCCACCAGAAGAGATATTTGGTAGATGTTGAGGTGTGTATGCACATAACTCTACTCTTCTATCTCAGACTTCTCAGTGTTTCTTCAAATTGTTCTCTTTGAATATTGTTTCTCTCCACTTATGAAGTTTTAGTCTTTTAGCAATTTAAAGTAGTTAATCTTATTGTAGATCAGTCGTTGTCTTGAATTGCACAGTGAGGCACGGGAAATGTTTGCAACTGTTATTTATCCTTGACTTGTGTGCATTGTGCAGGGGAAGTCTATGTTGATCAAGATCCAGAATGTGTGATTTTGAAGAAGTATAAGTAGATCTGAGCAAGTGGCGAAACGAGCTATTACATCACAAGAAAAAAGACTTAGTTAGTAGACGAAACCGGATTATGTAGCGACTTCTATTCCTTGTTATGATGTTTCACAATATTAGGCAAAGTCCAAACTTTTGTGAATCCATCATCTTTATGTAGTGACTTCTATTCCTTGTTCTGATGCTTCATAATATTAGTCAAAGACCGAACTTTGTGAATCCATCATCTTTATAGTAAAAGATTCTAAGTTGACAACTTTTCTACTTTTTCCACATTTCTCTGGCCTCTCATGTTGTTGAAGGGTTCTTCTTTATCATTCTTATTTCATGAACAACTTAATAGAAGTTTACTATTGTTGATTTCTTAGATGATTCTTGTCCTTGTGGGCGTGCCGGAGTGGTTATCGGGCATGACTAGAAATCATGTGGGCTTTGCCCGCGCAGGTTCGAATCCTGCCGCTCACGTTTTTCTGTTTCAGTATGATAAGAATTGACCCCCAAAAGATGGAGACATCCCCATTTGAGTACTTCTTTATTATATATGACCAAATCCGTTTGAGTATTTGGAATATTATCTGATCATTTTATTAATGTATCATACATTATGTTATCATCCACTTGACGAGACAAGAAGAACATTTTTAGTTTGGGATCAAAGATATTTGACCACTTTATTAATGTGACATGACTGGTGAAATGGTGAGATCTTCCGCCAAAATCTTCTTTTTGAAAAATACTGTTAAGAAAGACACCAGTGGATTAAAGAAGCTCAAGTACAATTGTGTATGGCTCTTTGCGATCAACAAAGGTTAGAATCCTATAGAAGATGTAGATATTTTCTCTCTGAATACATTTCTTCGTATGTAAAAACTTGCATCTAACTTGGTAAATCCAATAAAGCAATCCGAATTACCTAAAATCAAAATAGTGGTGGGGACTAAATCTAAAAGCGGTAAAAGGTTCAAGTTTTTGTTCTTTTGACTTCTCACATTATCATTCTAGCATTGTCTATATTTTTCTATATATACACTCATGATCTTGTTGTGGGTACACACATAATCATATTATCTTCTTCCTCATTCTTCATCATCATCTTTTTTCTTTTCCTTCTATACGTGACATATTTCTCTTAGTAATGGAGGGTAAAGGAAGAGTTGGATCATCATCGTCTTCTTCCTTCACCGCTAAAATCTTTGGCCCCAAGGAACCTTCCTCCTCCGCCAACTTCAACTCCATTTTCCCTCCTCCCTCCAAGGTTATTACTATTCCCTTCTTTTTATTGTTCCTTTTGTTACCTTTTTTCTTGATTGATTCTTGAAGTTCATTATTGCTTTTTCTTTTCGAGTATTCAGGGAACATCAAGAAACATCCTAAGTTCCAAACATGGCTCCCTAGGTCAGTGGAAAAGTCTTTCTCCAACATTTTTTAAAACATTACTCTGTTTCCTTCAGCCATCATAAACAAGCTTGAATACTTAGCTATATTATACAAAAACGGCTCAAAGATTCTTCGAGATTCGCCGTTCTTTAGTCAGGATAACAATCCGAATCTGGATGGTGTAATGAATAGATTCTCTCCTTGGTTTTTGTGGTTTCTTCACAGACCAACGTAAAGAATCTGCAACCTGCAATCTAAGTTCATCACTTTACTACGGTGGTCAAGATGTTTACTCTCAATCCACACACAACCATACTTACACTACAGTGAGTAATCATCATTATCATTTATCATCCACTCAGGTCACTTTGATATTTGATTGTTTTAAAGAAGAGACAAAATCTCTGACTTTGCAAAACGTTGTATCAAATCAGATTAACAAGGATCAGAACAGAGATAACAACGATGCAAACTCGTCGGACGCCTCAAGAGGAAACTGGTGGCAAGGTATTGTATATATACACCCCAACCAAATGATGTTTGTTACCGAATTCACGTCTTTGTTTGTTTCCCTTCTAACATTTCCCCAATCTCGTCATTTTCGCAGGTTCACTTTATTACTAGAAGCTTCTCTAAGTGCGTCTCTGTAGAAGAACATCAAGTTGAAACAGAACAATATATGATCGTTTGATCCTCTGTTATGTTCTTAAAGAAACTGTTTCAATGATGCTATGCTTGTCTATTTGTCTAATGTTAAACAAAAGATTAGATCTTGAAACTATAGTAAAAATATATAACAGAGGATTCTCTGGCTACAGAACTAATCGAATCTGAAACTCAAATCTATCAGACAAAGAGATTGTAGAAACACAAAAGGTGTCAATAAATGAATGCGTAAAGCACAAGGAACACATAGATAACAAGTGCAGAAGGAACAAGCACAACAAGAGGAACAATAGCCGCAAGGGCATGAAAGCTTCTCTTACATTCCAAAGGTCCAAGCTTAATCTGAACAAGATCCACTAACGCCATTGTCAAGAACCCACATCCCAAAACCGATGCAACACACGAAGCAACGATCCCAACCCTTAAAGCTGCCAAGTTCACACGCCCCTCTCCCGCGTTCAACACACGCACCTCCTCCTCCAAAACGTTCCCGTTTGTTTTTGTTGTTGTTGTTGTCCTGATTGCTTGCTTGAGAGACATAGCGATGAGACTGGAGAAGAGGAATAAGCTGAAGGAGTAAACATGGCTTGAGACAAGCCTCTCCGCTAATGCGGGACCTTTTGCGGCGATACATCGGCGGAGATGGTGGTTCTCGGAGGCGGATGAGGAAACCGGGAAAGAGATGTTTCCGCTTGTGGTGAGGCCGAGGAAAAGAGCAAGAGAGAAGAGTGAATTAACATTCACGATCCCATCCAGAGCTGTGATGTGGATTAACGTCGTTGGGAGGAGCCGTCGCCGGAGAAATTCCACGGCGCCATTGGAGATTGCCATCAAATTTGAATTGTTTCACCTAGACAACAATTTAGATTGAACGAAATAGAAATTTGGTTATTCATAATTAAAGAAAGGTTAGCCTTTTGTTGTAAAATTTGCCGGAGACTGTGGGAAAAATGTGTGTAGCGTCGAAGCTAAGTATTGCGTGACGTCTCCGGTGAGGAAAACGACGGACAGGTAATGATGGGAGACGTAAACCACAAGGTACCAAACCTTTTTGCCTTTTTTTTGGGCTTTTGTATCGATACGTCGACGTATGACTTAAAAAGAGGTCGTATTTTTGTCTTTAACCCAAGAACACTATTTTCTAAAGTTAATAGTTCTAAAGTTCAATACCAACAATTAGATTGAGTAAACAATTTTACTTCAACTTTGGTTACTAAAACTTACTATACACCAATTACCAAAAAAAAAAAAAACAGAAGGTTTAAACCCTATTCAAATTTAATTTTGAAATCTAAGTTACTAAATCTTTAATTATATTATTTCCAAATTATTAGATTTATTCTAAAATTAGATATTCATGTAAATTATTTCTAATACCAACGCAAAGAAGAAGAGGCATGAAGTTGTATCATGCAAATAAGGTAAATATATATTTAGGGGATTAGTTGTCTTTCTTTTGAACATCTATTTAAGGGGATTTTCTAAATTCTAATATAACGAATGTTTGTACTACACAAAAATTTAACAAGTCAAAAGATGATGTACTTGTACTACAGTACAACACATAATACATTTAAGAAATCACAATAAATACAAACCGATTCTCTCTTAAATTTTTTGTCTAACAAAATCCATCATAAACCCTATTACCATTAGTATCATGGATCATGATCACATGAATAACATGCCACCACCATCACCATCATCATCATCAATGTCGAATCATACCAAACCACACATGATGATGATGCACATGACGTTCTTTTGGGGTAAGAACACGGAGGTTCTCTTCTCCGGCTGGCCCGGGACAAGCTCTGGCATGTACGCTCTTTGTCTGATCGTTGTCTTCCTCCTCGCTGTAATTGCCGAGTGGCTCGCTCATTCGCCTATCCTACGTGCCAGTGGCTCAACCAATCGTGCCGCCGGGCTTGCTCAGACCGCGGTGTACACACTCAAGACTGGTCTTTCGTATTTGGTGATGCTCTCTGTTATGTCCTTTAATGCAGGCGTTTTCATCGTTGCTATCGCCGGATACGCCGTTGGTTTCTTTCTATTTGGAAGCACTACGTTCAAGAAACCCTCCGATGACCGGAAAACCACCGAGCTTCTCCCGCCGTCGTCAGGCTGCGTTTGTTGAACAATTGAAATTACTCTTTGTTATTTTTTTTTCTTATAATTAAAGAATTTTTCCCTTGTATGTGGTTGGCTTTAAATTCTAATATTTCGTTTTGGTTTTCAGTAAAATTAAATAGTAGAAGTTAAAATATTTTCGATTGATTTTCTTAGGTTACACAAAATTAATTCCACAATTTCATGAATATTTTGTGACTAAAGATTTTGGAATTTCTTGCATTATTGTAGTTTGAGTATAGTTGACAAATTTTGAACCACAAATTTATGATAACAAATGCTGTCCATAAAATGTTATTGTAACCCCATCAGTAACCATCTCCATTGGTTTTAAGTTAGTCCTCTGCGAGAGAGAGTGATTCATTGAGAAACAAATTTGAAAATACATATATGGAGATTGGAGACAAGAAGAACTAAATTATTGATTTTCATCGTATGATATGTCTATTAGAGACAAAATAAATTGATCATTTAACTTTACCGATAACTAATTTAAATTATAAACCTTATTTTGTTTTCTTTCAGGATTCAATTCTTTTCGGCTCTAAATTTTATTTTTTGACTTCTAATATTTTACAAACAAGTTCAAAAAAATAAAATAGCACGAAGAATAAGAGCCATCCAAAATCAAAAGATTTGCACGGACCAGGTGAAACATCTATATGAATGGTTAATGGCTTAATGCATTGTCGATACATATATAGGGATGTGATTTCTTTAATAAAACTGATATTGCGAAAGCTTATATTAGTTAGTTCCAAGCTGGTTCTATATACCTTATTGCTATTAAAAATTTACGAAATATAACAAGTTAAATTAAAAACTAGGCACCTCGTTGACAAAAAAATTAATAAATAGGTTTTATCTTTAGCAATAATTTAGTAAAGGTCAAACAATAAACAAGTATATACTAGTTAGTACACGAGTACGACCAAGAGAACGGCAAGGTTCACGCCTTTTCTTTTCTTTGGAAAGTAATAATGATTCGAGGGTCTGACTAATTAATTGATTTCTTTGAGAGGCTAAAATGGTTTAAAATACTTAGTAAACATTCTTCAAATATTCTATAGTTCAATTCTGAGAAAGCACATTCAAAGGATTGGAATTCAACCTGTGATTTCATCTAACCGGTTCTATTACCGGTAGGGTTGTTTAGTTTTGTTCGGATATATATTTAATCCGGTTTAGCTGACCGTCAACAAGAAGAACAACCAACAAAAGGCATATGTGTTAAGCCTTGACTTGCGCAGCAAGAAATTGTCTATTTCAGTCATTAAGAATATATAAGAGAATACCTAAGCTAGTTTCACAGATTAATTCACAATCTACTCATCATCTGTTTCTTCAACACTGTGATTAACAGAAGAATAAGAGGTCTTACGGTTAGCAGAAAAAGAATCACAATTGTGGCAGTCAGCTCAAATAGAGCTTATTAATGAAAATCAAGGCTCTATGGATTTGGTGACTCGATCTCGAGTGAGGGCTGCTTCACTTGAATCGAATTACTCGGGATACCGTTGCTTTGTGGATGGATCATGGAAAAGAAGTGATAAGTTCTCCGGTACAGGATGGTACTATACATCATCAAGAGGAGAGCCGCCAACCATGGGAGCTGCCAACCTCCGTAGAAGTCTATCTCCTCTACATACAGAAGTCGAGGCCCTTCTTTGGGCAATGAAGTGTATGATTGGTGCAGATAACCAAAAGGTAGCGTTCTATACAGATTGTTCAGACCTGGTGAAGATGGTGTCTTCCCCAACCGAATGGCCGGCGTTTTCAGTGTATTTAGAGGAGTTCCAGAGCGACAAGGAAGAATTTTCAACCTTTTTTTATCTCTAATTTCTCGTAGTGCTAATGTAAAAGCGGACAATCTGGCATGAAAAGTTCGTACGGAACCGCTTCATATCACATTTGTAAACAACATTCCTCAGGAATGGCTCTTTTGAGCGATAATTAATTTTGGAAGAATAAAACCATTTTGCAATTTTTCTCATGACTAATACACAATATACATGCCATTTTGGAACCTCTCTTCAGTATTAATTCTGTCATTAGAACCAAGAAGATGTGATCGACCATGGACACTTTGAATCAGGTGCTTCTCAAAACACTGTTTAATATATATAAAAAGTAATATCTGTACGACTGTACGTACTTAAAGAAAAGCCATAAAATGCATTTAGGTTTTTAACAACATGAAGCTCTCAAAATGAGCCGAAACATTCACACTATATCTACTGGAACTCTTAAGCTTGGGACCATACAATTCTTGATTCAGTCCTTCAATCATGACATTTCTCGTGCTATTCGTCTTCAAATTGTAATAGACTAGACAAAACGGATCAAAAAATCGTTTTGGAAGCAGACAAATGTCGCCGGTATTAAAGGTACCGATAATGTCGTAGTCAAGGCCAGCAGCAGATTGGGGCAAATGAAAAGTGGTCATGGACCATTCTTCTTTCTCAGCATCTTCCACAACCCACATTCGAAAACTACCCTTACGAGGATACTCTAACACACTAACTTTCCCTCCGTAGTTCATCAGAGTTTTATATGTATCCCACATATCCTCATAAATCACCGGTATTTTGATGCATTTGAACGCTTCAAGCCTAACATCGAAACTAACAATTATAGAAATATTATTCATGCCTCTTCTATAGGCTCCGTAGTATAGTGTTCCGTCCATATACAGGGCCGGGGTTCGAGAAACATGAGGACATGCACCACATGGTGCCTTTCTCCATACTCTTTCTCCTCCTAAGACCACAACCTTCTGTTCCAAACTCCAACGCGAGTTATCAACAGCGAGAATTTTGTACTGATCTCCAACAAGATCGTACCCTAAAAAATAGTTACAACGTGGATCAACATCCAAATTGATAGGAGGATCTTTGTGTTTGATTTGGGGAAGAACATGGAGCCGCCTCGTGCTAGGGTTACAAATCCCCACTTTCCGTTTACTTCCAACGCATATCAATCCCCGAACCGCATTATATACCTTTCTCCCATGGAGTTTGAATAGGCTCAGATCTTTATAGCGTACCAAACATGAAGGAGGGGAAGAGGAAGATACGTTTGGGTAAGGCAACGAGAACAACAGAATATCTTTTCCCAAAAAGTCACCAAAAGTGATGAGGAGACGAGAAGGAGCTGAGGAAGCAGCTAAATTCAGTTGCCGGTTTCTGAAATCTTGGCTGGTGATGATAGAGGACCAAAGCTTGGAGACACATTGAAATCTCAATAAAGACTTTACTGGTAATCTTAAGAGTGTCTCAATCTGGAGATCGAGAGGAATGTAGGTCGGTGTCGGATTTCGACATAAGATTGATTTCTTTCTCGTTGGAACTCGTTTAAACCTTCTTCTATTGCCTTTTTTAGCTAAATTTTTCTTCCGGAAAACGCATAGTTGCCGATAACACAACTTCATGATTGTCTTCTTCAAGACGTCTATAGCTTAGAATTAGATTCAACTATTGAAGTACAAGGCTTTGTAGAGAAATAAAACCCTATAAGTAATGCTAGAAAAAAACTTCAACTGGCCTCGCAAAACCTAAACCTAATTGGAATTTGGGAATTTTCAATTTTATTTTGTTTATTTAAGGGTATTTTAATCATATATAAATTTGTCTTATATATCTTGAAAAAAGTTTTTTTTTTTTTTAAAAAGAGACAAAACATGGCCAGACGTTAGCTTAACAAAAGATTCAAACAAGAGGAAGGGAAAAAAAAGGGAAGAAGACCAAACCAAACTGGTTTTGATTTCTCAATCTATTTTTTTTTTTTTGGTAGGATTGATTTCTCAATCTATTAACAATGAATAGTAATAAAGATTTTTTAATTTTTTAAATAATATAAAATCTAAAAAATCAATTCATTGTGATATTTGTTTCTCAAGACTTACACATCACATAAGTCATAACTCTTTTGCCATTTATTTCCCCTATTTTCGGCCTCATTCCTATTGTTTTTTCCGGAGGAAGAAAATTATTATTTTTAGGGTTTTGTAGAGGAACAAAGCTTTCTGTCTCATTTTGACGCCGATCATCAATCGGATGGCATCGATTGACATTCCTCTTGATCTCCAGATTAATACACTCTTAAGATTACCTGTCAAGTCTTTGTTGAGATTTCGATTCGTCTCCAAGCTTTGGTCCTCTATCATCACCAGCCAATATTTTCAAAACCGTCACTTTAATATTATTACATCTTCCTCAGCTGCTCCCCGTCTTCTCATTGCTTTTCAGGACTTTCGCAGTGGAAACCTTCTGCTAGTCTCGTCACCTAACCCAAACGTATCTTCTTCATGTTGTGTGCCCTACAAAGATCTGAACATACTCAAAATTGATGGGAGCAAATTCTATGGTTCGGTTCGGGGCTTGGTATGTTTTAGAAGTAGATTAAGTGTGGGGATTTGTAACCCTAGCACAAGGCAGCTGCATATTTATCCACAAATCAAATTCGAAAAGGATCCATGTACTGATCCGTGGGTCATGTACTTTTTTGGGTACGATCCTGTTGAAGATCAATACAAAGTGCTAGCCATTCATCATTTGAGATGGAGATTTGAGCACAAGGTTTTGGTAGTGGGAGGAGGTTGGAGAGACGCTCCATATCCCACCTGTCCTCATGTTGTTCAGACCTTGGGGCTGTATATGAACGGAACCCTGTACTACGGGGCCTCTAGGATGGACATCAAGTCCCCGAATAATAATTCTATAATTGTGAGTTTCGATGTTAGGTTTGAAACGTTCAACATCATCAACGTACCAGCGGCTTATGAGAAGATGTGGAAATGTTCGTCTGAAGCGGATAAAACTTTGATCAACTATAGAGGGAAAATTGGTGTGGTTGAGCACCCTCGTGATGGTAGTTTTCGAATGTGGGTTGTGGAAGATGCTGAGAAAGAGAATTGGTCCATGACCACTTTTCATTTGCCCCAATCTGCTGCTGGTCTTGAATTTGAGGTCATGGAAACCGTTTATAACGGTGAGATTTGTCTACTTCCAAAAGAATTGCCCGATCCGTTTTGCCTCTTCTATTACAATTTGAAGACGAATAGCATGAGAAGTGTCGCAATTAAAGGACTACCTATTTCCCAGACTAAGCCATTCCGTAGCATTTTTGCGATTGTTTCAGATCATTATGAGAGCTTTATGTCTTTAGAAACCTCAAGTTAATTTCGGGTTTATATATGCTTAGAAATTAAATTTTGCTTTATATTTAGATATTAATTTTGCTTTGAGAAGCCCCATACGATTCAAAGGTTATATCTTAAAATCATGGTCGAGCATATCCCACTACCAGAACCTGGTGCTCTGATCTCCCATGCGAATAATCAACGACAAGCACTTTGTATTGATCTTCAACAGGATCGTACCCAAAATAAAAGTACATGTTGCACGTACGAAATACTGGAGAATTTTTGAATTGGGGAAAAGTAGGCAGCTCTCCCATGCTGGGGTTACGAATCCCCACCCTTAATCTGCTTCTAAAACATATAAACCCCCGGACCGCACCATAGAATACTTTGATCCCATCAATTTTGAGTATGTTCAGATCTTTATAGGGTACACAACATGAAGAAGAAAAAGAGGAAGATACGCTCGGGTTAGGTGACGAGACTAGTAGAAGCTTTTCACCGCGGAAGTTCACAAAAGCAATGAGGAGACGAGGAGGAGCTGAGTAAGAAGTAATATTAAAGTGACGGTTTCCAAAATCTTGGCTGGTGATAATAGAACACCAAAGCTTGGAGACACATCGACATCTCAATAAAGACTTCACAGGTAATCTTAAGAGTGTACTAATCTGTAGATCAAGAGGAATGTAAATCTACAAGACGTGGAAGGTTAAATAATGAAACCTTGACTAGCAAACCCTAACTTAAACTAATTAAATTTGGCAATTTTCCATTGTATAATTTATTTTCGGGTATATTAATCATAATTCTGGTTTATAAATCTTCAAAAAATAAAAAAAAACAAACATCAACAGAACTAGATAAATAGAAGATGCAAACGAAAAAGATAAGGAAGACCAAACCAAATATAAGAACAAAGTACAAAAACAACACACCATAAGTCTAAAAGGATCATAAGTTGTCAATACAAGCACTAAAAACCTGCAACTGGTAGTTGAGGTTTTTTTTTTTTTTTAATGAAAAGATAAGCAAAAGACTCTAAATTGGTTTGTTAAAAGGGGGTACACTTACTCAGTACTCCTCCTGTTGGTATTCTCCTTCTTCCTCATCCTCGTACTCGCCTTCTTCATCTGCGGTTGCGTCTTGGTATTGCTGGTACTCTGAGACAAGATCGTTCATGTTGCTCTCAGCTTCTGTGAACTCCATCTCGTCCATTCCTTCACCTGTGTACCAATGCAAGAAAGCCTTTCTCCTGAACATAGCTGTGAACTGCTCACTCACACGCCTAAACATCTCTTGGATCGATGTTGAGTTGCCGATGAAAGTGGAAGCCATCTTCAGACCAGTAGGTGGGATGTCACAGACTGTTGACTTGACATTGTTGGGGATCCACTCAACAAAGTAGGATGAGTTCTTGTTCTGCACGTTCAGCATCTGCTCGTCCACTTCTTTTGTGCTCATCTTCCCACGGAACATGGCAGAGGCAGTGAGGTAGCGTCCGTGTCTTGGGTCAGCAGCACACATCATGTTCTTGGAATCCCACATTTGCTGGGTGAGCTCAGGGACTGTGAGGGAACGGTACTGCTGGGACCCTCTGGAGGTGAGAGGAGCAAAACCCACCATGAAGAAGTGAAGACGAGGGAATGGAATAAGATTCACAGCAAGCTTACGAAGGTCAGAGTTGAGCTGACCAGGGAACCTCAGACAGCAAGTCACACCAGACATTGTGGCAGAAATCAAGTGGTTCAAATCACCAACTGCAGACCCAGAATGAAGAAGTTAGTGAGCGTCCTTCTATCCATATACACACTTATCAGACAACCATATCAAAGCAGTGTACCCTTTCACAATCACAAAGGTAGTTGATAATCATGCTCTCACAATTCTAATCATGTTACAAGAAGTACCAGATATTGACATAACACTTATAGATATGGGCCAATAAGACTAAAGAATAGAAGTATAAGGACTTATTGTGGTGATGACACCAATGCAGATAACCAGGGAATAGTAAACAGAACCTATAACACAAAACACATGAGGACTACAGGCAAAAATAAACCACTAAAAATAGTAACAAAACAATTCTGATACAAAACAATGACCAAATCATGTTCACCATCTATACACTAATGCAAATCAACCATACAGCAGAAGCATCTCAACTGATCTAAAACTCCGAGAACAGTATCAATGCAACCATGATTCAAAGAATAACTTACAGCTAGGAGTGGTGAGTTTCAGAGTCCTGAAGCAAATATCATACAAGGCCTCGTTATCAAGAACCATACACTCATCAGCATTCTCAACAAGCTGATGAACAGACAAAGTAGCATTGTAAGGCTCAACAACAGTATCAGAAACCTTAGGCGAAGGAAACACTGAGAACGTAAGCATCATTCGATCTGGATACTCTTCACGGATCTTGGATATCAACAGTGTTCCCATACCAGATCCAGTTCCTCCTCCCAAAGAATGACAAACTTGAAACCCTATAAACCAAAATCTCACAGTTCAAAACCACGAAAAAACACTTAAACCAAAAGCAAAATCAAACAGATCTAGAGATTATTATACCTTGCAAGCAGTCACAGTTCTCAGCTTCCTTACGAACAACATCAAGAACCGAATCGATTAGCTCAGCTCCTTCAGTGTAATGTCCCTTAGCCCAATTGTTACCAGCACCAGATTGACCAAAAACGAAGTTATCAGGACGGAAGGTTTGACCATAAGGTCCAGATCTGAGACTATCCATAGTTCCAGGCTCCAAATCCATAAGAACAGCACGAGGAACGAATCTACCACAACTAGCTTCATTGTAGTACACATTGATACGCTCAAGTTGCAGATCTGAGTCTCCGGTGTACCTACCGGTTGGATCTATGCCGTGTTCGGCGCAAACCACTTCCCAGAACTTGGCTCCGATCTGGTTACCGCATTGACCACCTTGGATATGAAGGATCTCTCGCATTTTCGCTAGAAGGAAGTGGAAATAGAGATTGATTTCGACGGATCCGAAATTTCGAGAATCGAAATCCGGAGGAAGAAGGAGAGTGAATTAGGGTTTTCAGAAATGTGAAGAAGAGTGAGAGAGTAAGAAGAGGAGTGGTTTTATAGAGAAGAGTTAACGGGTTAATTATTTTTTTAATTTAGTAATTTGCGCTGATTTGTTTTGTTTCGAAATTTAAAAATGTAACGTTTCGTTAGTGTACCACAAATTCAAAATTTTAATTTATTTTTAGCGAATGATTCACAATTTCTATATTAATTTGAGGATATTTTTGTCAGGTTACTGAAAAAAACTGCAAATCGTAAGCAATGTTTTTATTCTGGCATTAACTTTTGCCCATACATTATTAAATATATAAAAAAAGTTGGATATCTTTTAAAAAGAAAATTTGGAAAGTTAAAACGATGACGCTTTTGTAGGTGAGAGTGGAGGGGCGCAGGATCACGTGACGAAGCCCAGGGAACATTAATTGTGTTTTTGTTTCTAATATAATGAGAAAAGTATACGTTACATTATTTAATAGAATAGTATATCCCTAATTATTTGAAGAATGGCCTAATAATCATCTACTAATTGTGTTCCGAAAATAAATTCAAACGGAACTATACTACAATTGTTCATTTAACCAATTAATAATTATAAGTTTTTATCACACAAAATTATCAAAACAAAATAAAAGGTTTTAGTAGACAACCTAATTAACTTAGATTAATGTTTTTTTTTTCAATCCAATTCCAAGGCATGGTACTGATGGTGATGGATTCTAATCCAACTATATTATTCATACATAATAATAAAAAAAAAAATCATATTATACTTTGGTCATAAATAATTTATGTTTTAGTTGGTAGTATGCCACATGCCGTCACGTGCTTGTATAATATTCGCATCAACCCATTATTAATCGCTCAGCGGATCATGTTATTCAAAAAGATGTAATGACGTTGTAATCGAGGTTTTAGTTACATGTATTCCTTCTTGATTAGTCATCTCTATTAGTTTTGTATTCTGTTCGTTTCAATCTTGTTTTATTTAGGGATTTCGATATGTGGTTTATGGATTCTAGGATTCTAAGCAAGCTATTGAATTGTCACAATTTTTGGAGGTTTTCATTAATAATTAAACGCCATTGAATTATTACCATTTAAATAACCCCTGTTCAATTTTAGTTCAATGTGTGTTTTGGTTTTTGCTTGAGATAGATGATGTTTCTGTAGTTTGGTTATGTGGTTAGAGATGATGATGATTTCATTTAGAGATGATGATGGTTATTAATTAATGATGATATTGTGCTATTGTTTGATGCTCTTAACATAGATGATTAAAACGATGTGCTTATTGAATAGTGCTTCACCATTTGTTCCAATATCTTTTTATTTTCTAGTTCTGGCGTTGCTCAACAATGTCTTCCCGTGAAATTGAAGAATTTTTAGCCCCACTCCCACTTCCGCTTCTGGAAAAGGTAACTTTGTTTTTGTTTCATGATTATTGTCTCTAGGGGTTAATCCACGAGCCGACATTTACATGTCTGATAAGTTTGCGTTTTTCGGAATTCATCACATGTTATGTGGTAGTGCCATTTAAAGTTGCAGTTTATGCAGAAAAACGTGCCACACACCATGCACTTTCTGGTTCCTACCTGCTCAGCACCAAGAAAGAATTCGTTTGCGTGTTTAAGGAGCTTGTCCTTCACCATTAAAGCGGAACATGTGGGTTCCGGACAATAGACTCTGTCTCTCACGTTGATCTCGCTCTCCATCTTGCGCTGGTCAATCACACTAAGCTGTTCAGGGTCTAAAATACCTACACAAGCCTCTCTATGAATTTCTGACTAGTGTTCCTCCATTGGGCAGATTGCTCTTTTCCCACATACTAGTGTTCTTCTGAGGTGTTTCTTCATGCAGACATCGCAGAAAAGGTGGAAACATCCAGGTACCTCGAACATCTTATCACACTGAAAGTCTTCATAACATATTGCACAAGTCTCTTCGCGTGGTTTGATCTGGGAAGAAATAGCAGCTTCTGCAAGAAGATGGACAAAGGTGATGTCCTTGCATACTGGGAGTGCTTGGCAAGACGAGACCTCTTCTGAAGAAGACCCACTTCCTTTACAAGAGTTGCAACAGTGGAGTTGGTTGAGACCATTTTACCTGTTACTTGTAACATAGAAAACAATATATGCAAACTCAGTTTCAAGATTGATTTACATGTTTTACGATTTCATGTCTAACATGTTTATGATAATCCGAGGTTTTATAAAGTTGATCATCTAAAGTACGGAACTGAAATAAAATTGCAAAAAAAAAAGAAAAAGGATTATTCATGATACAATAAAAAAAATATCAAGTACTTTGATTGATCGTATAAGGAATCAGAAATATTAATTACCTGGCAATTTCCATCACTTTTAATCTTGATTTCGGTGAAATCTTCCAACTCCAATCTGAAAATCCGGAGAAAAAAGCATATATAGTCAAGATTAGCGGTTAAAGTTTTTTGAACAAGCTTACAAGAAGAATTGATACCTATACTGAAGTCTTTCCCGATCATTAAGATCATCCAAACACAACGACTTAGGTTGAGTGTTAGGCATCTTTTAGAGTTGGGATTGATCGATGATTGATACAAAACAGAGTCTCTCCTCTCTTAGAAAAGATTAGGGCTAGATTTAACGTTAATAGGAATTTTTTTTCTCCGACGTTTAATACTTTAATTGTGATTTTATGGTCTGTTTATATACTAAAAAAAAGTAAAGTTAATAGATGTTCAAAAAAGTAAACTTGCCGGAAAAAAAAACAACCAAAGGAAAGTTTCAGAAAGGCTGTTTTATAAAAAGTTAAAATAATAATAGTTCATTATATTGTTGGTATGATTTTATTTGCATATGATTTCCACTCCACGTATCCACAAAAAAAGAATTCCAGAACAAAAAATAATTTATTTTCCTATATTTATATAGGACGACTCATCTTCAGTGGGGCTGTCAGCTGTGTGTTCGATGTTAGCTACTTGACACGGCTCATGGTAGATTTATTGAATGGTTGAAGAGAGCACACACCAATCTTATTGGACACATTTGACAGAAACAGTAAGTTACAAACACATAAAAGTAGCAGAGTAAAGAGAACACACACCAATCCTTATTGGAAGTTTATTTTGTCGACATGACAGTGGCTGGTTTTACTAATATAATAGAAGGTTTTTCACTTGGTGGTGGCGATTGGTACGACAGTGACTCCAATGCTGTGAACAACATCACTAGCTTGTCCGTGGCATCCGACGATCTTGTGGCCTATCTCTCCGAGTGAGAACTTCTCACCGGAGTCCATTCCAAACGGAGTTGACTCCCTTTTATTCGTCTTAAACTGAAGACAGATTATCATCGGTGTCTCGACTCCGAAAATCTTATCGTAGTAGCCATCTATGGCTGTTAGATATTCACCATCTTCAAGCACAAACTGCAAAGACTCGAAAGTAACAAGTATAAATGTATAATTTAAGTTATTAATTATTTGAAACAAAAACTCTTGTTGTTTATGGATATGACCTCTTCAGTTCCAAGTAATGTCATCTTCCCATGGTCATCTCCGGATACAAGATCTTTTCCTTTATTGTACTCAAACTTGACAAAGGCTACACCATCGTTTCCTTGTCCTACAAGTATCCTCCTCACACCATCGTAGACACCATCATCCCATGCAACTCCTCCGTTGCCACCTATCGCTCAACGGATCATGTTATTCAAAAAGATGTAATGACGTTGTAATCGAGGTTTTAGTTACATGTATTCCTTCTTGATCAGTCATCTCTAAAAGCAAGCTATTGAATTCTCACAATTTTTGAAGGTTTTCATTAATAATTAAACGCCATTGAACTATTATCATTTAGTTGATGCCAGACTATTAAAAATGCTTGGGAGTTGGTATAACCACCTCTCAAAATCATCTTCCTCGATGAGCCAATCTCTTACTTTTCGTTTCTTCTTTCTATAGAGATTTTTTCCAACTGTGGTTATTATGAACCTCACTAGGTTTTTGAGTGAGTAATATAAAGAGCATAACTTTTTGAGCTAAGCGAAATTAAAAAAAAATATTAATGTGAGGAACAAATCTCCGCCAATTCTACTAGAGGAAATTAAAGCATTGATCAATAAGTGCTAGCTGGATAGATTTTAGTAGCAAGATAAAATGTTGTATTTTGACTTAATTATCTTGGTGTAGTCGTGGAGCTAAGGAAAATTGTAGAAATACTCATTCTGGGAGATGGGTTAGGAACTTTCTGAGAAGCATATCACTTTGTTACCTTGGAGTCCAAGACAAGTTCTTTTTTTGCAACACTTTATTAAGATCGTGAATTTTTTCTTCTTCTCTATCTTCTTTATTACTTTAGTGTTGATCTTATTCACTCCAGATAATGTAATACGAGCCACTTAAAGAATCTTATGATTACTGATATGTTTTCTTGGATATCTTTCTCTAACACACATCTTTAAGAAGCTTTTCTTTGAGTGCAACATTAACCTCTCGAGAATATGGGTTACACTGCCTTGTCACTCTTTCTCTTTTACTCGATTCTCCGTTTTCTGATCTCCGTTAATATATACATGCCTTTAGGAAGTGGTAATATGCCAAACGTGAAAGGTTGTTTAGGGACGTTTATATGTGGGGATTGCAACATCGTGATGAACCAACAAATTTGATGATGATCTCAAAAAACAGCTTGTTGGACAAGAACTATGTTGCGGCACTTGTCCCATTAAAAGAGAAGGAAAACAATATTTTATTGACACTTCCTCAAGACCCATCAGAATTGCCACAATGTGTTGCAAGTTTTGTTTGGGTTTGGACTAGCCCCTATCAACTGGAGGGAGCCCTCCTGATAGCCAAAGCTGTAGTAGCTCACATGTTGTTGCTCCTTCTCATACTTCTTCTCCTCGCAACGGAACTTCACTATGTGTTGCCAAAAAGAAGAAGAAACGTTCTCACAAATATCCATCCCAAGAGCACTAATATTCTGAGGACTAGTGAAGATACTACCAGAAGCTAGGAAAGGACTGTTACTTTTTTATAAGGGAAATTACATAGAATAGCACATAAAAGATGCTAAATTACTCTAAAAAGCTTAGTCAAAAAAGGTAACAAGAAAAAATTAACTATGAATAATAAGATAAAATATCTTTAATGAAATATCCTTTTTTATTATCCCTAGACTCAATTTAATAAATCATTTTGTAAAAATAAATTGGTTTCCGAAGTTTTGTTAACCCTAACTTCCTCAATAAGCATAAACTGAAAATTCCTCTTTTATCCGTATCTTATGGATCGATGCCTCTGATTCCACTTAGCTTCACAATCGGCTATCATGAATCTACAAGCCATCAATCGCTTAATCACAGGCGATCATGAAGATAATGATCCTGCGAATATCTCCATGAAGACTACTCCTGGTTTGCGGGTTTTCAAGCCCATCATCCCTGATATGCGTATGCCTCTCTTTCATATTTTGTATTATGTATTCGTAGCTATGACTATCCTAATTCTGTTTTCATGTTTTTGACATCATATAGCTAAACGAGACCCTAAAATCTATTTGGATGATGCTTGGACAAAGCTAAAACCAGCCATTAGAACCATCTTCCTCGATGAGCCACAAGATTATCACTGCTCTGAGATTTTCAACGTATGTTCTCGTATCTACTTTTGCTTATTTCTTCTTTCTTTCTAAATGTTTTTTCTTGACTGGTCTTGCATCATCCAGGCTGTTCATAAAGCATGGTGGTCAAAGTCATCAGGAGAAGCCCTTTACAAGCTGATCTTGGAGGAGTGTGAGATATACATCTCTGCAGCTATACATTCTTTAGAATTGCATTGCGATGATGATCCCTCTGTTTTCCTGCCACTCATGGAGAATTGTTGCCTAGAGTTTCGCCGCAAGTTGCAGGATCTCTGTAGCATTGCGTATGAAGGTCATACAGTTGGTCTAAAATCATTGTGGGACTTGGGTATTGAGCTTTTCCCCAAGCATCTCTGCTTAGCCTCTAAAGTTCGTGACAAGCTTCTTTCCATCAACTTAGACCTCATTAGAGATCAAAGGTACATTTCTGTTACATTAGGCTAAATGAGATATTGGAATGTTGTGGATACAACCATTGTTTTTTTTCTTTTTTGGTGTTGATAGATTTGGATTACTGAGATCACTCTTTTGCCTTTTCATTGTTACCGCCAGATTAGGCAAGGCTGTTGACACGACTCAGCTAAAGAATCTTTGGTATTTGTTGCATGGGCCATGGTTCTACAAGTCGCGCTTAATATTCAAGAAGCCTTTTGTTGACTGCGCTGTTGAGTTTTACTCAGCAGAATCACTGCAGTTCAAGGAGCAGTCCGACATTCCCCAGTATTTGAAGCATGTCGAGGAAATATTGCGTAAGGAGAAGGAAAATTGCAGACACCTCTACTTTTATTCAGGGTTCAAGAAATCGTTGATGGAAGCTGTTGAGAGAATACTTCTGAGGGATCATGTTTCTGTCATTCTTGAAAAGGTCCTCATAAGCAGCTAGCTCTCTTCTACCTTTGATCTCTGTGATTTTTGTGAACAATATGTTTTCTAAGCACTTGTGGTTGCAGGGTTTTGTGAAGTTTATGGATGAGAGAAGCCATGATGACCTTAGTAGGATGTATCGTTTGTTCTCTAAGATGGACTTACTGGGGCAGTTGAACGATGCTTTGAACTCCTATATTTTGCAAACCGGGCAGAAGATGTTAAAGGAAGACTCATCATTGGCGGAGTTGAAGAAAAATATTGACAAGATTTGCCACACTTGTTTCTCAGAAGATGCTTCGTTGGAGAAGACAGCCAAACAATGTTTTAAGGATCTTGGTTTGCCTTGGGAGGAATCAGAAACAGAGTCTCTGCAGATTAAACGGATTCGATTTGATCGGCTAGGGCGTTTACATTATGGGCGATTCTTATGATTGTTATAAAAGACTTAATTATGTACTCGTCATGGAAGTTGTGGTTGCTATCTAAAAAAAAAAAATCGGAGATTCTAAGGAGATGTGTTTTATATGTTGGCACAGCAAAAATATGCAAGGACGTAGTGGATGTTTATAGACTAGCATTACCTATTTGCATGTAACATCTTGTATGGTTATAGATTTGAACATGGTTCAATTCATATGAAACAGCTAGTCTTAAGATTGTGCTCCTTGTGTTGATTCTTGTTCTTTGGAAGGAAGCTTTGTAGCCATGGTCCGTAGTTCGTTCACGATCTCAGTGAAGCTTGGCCTCTCTGATGGTTCTACAGACCAACATCTCTCCATCAGCAATTTCCAGTCCATGTCACAGAAGTTGGGAATTGGCGGCCGTAGCGTATTACTAACGATACCACCTGATTTCAAATTTTGGTTAGAATAGAAACAAAGCATACAAACCGGCCACAAGAATTATGGATATGTTTGGATATTTTGAAGTGTTATTCAAAGTGTTACCTCTTTTTTGGGGACTCTCTGACCGTGTTCATGGACGTGACCGTGTTCATGGACGTATTCTGAATGATTAGTATTAGGGGAGGGCACAGAACGGATATCCGGGATTTTGGTAGTGTTTGTGATCCAATTCGCTTTTTCCGAATACTAAATTTTCCGATTCGTCTTTGTTTCGTTAGTGACCGGATATCCGGCTCTTCGAATATCCGTTAAAATCCAAACTATTTGCCGGATATCCGATCCGTTAGGTATTTGTTTAAAAAAAAATAAAAAAATCCAAAAATAGTAAAATTTTATTAAAAATAGTAATATTTTATCATAAATATATATTTCTCCTTTAATTGTTCAAACTAGTAATTCAAATAATTAATTCGGTGATTAGAAAATTATAAAACACATACAAGAATAATAAAAGTATAATTTATATATGTAATTATCTATATATATGTATGTATTCCGGAGCGAAGCGGATATCCGCCTATTTAATTTACAGTATTTGATATTTGCTCCGTTTTTGACGAATACCTATATTTAATATTAGATTTGCTTCGTAAAGTTACGGATATCCGGATTTTTCAAATCGAATCAAATCTAATAACGGATTGAAGCGAATCTAACGAATATTTTGCCCAATCCTAATTAGTATGTGCAATTTCGTTTCTCTTCAGAAGCAGACCTTACCTCTGTGTAATTTTAGTTCAATGTGTGTTTTTGTTTTTTCCTGAGATAGATGATGTTTCCGTAGTTTGGTTTTGTGGTTTCAGATTATGATGATTTCATTTAGAGATGATGATGGCTATTAATTAATGATGATATTGTGCTATTGTTTGATGCTCTTAACATAGATGATTCAAACGATGTGCTTATTGAATAGTGCTTCACCATTTGTTCCAATGTCTTTTTATTTTCTAGTTCTTGCGTTGCTCAGCAATGTCTTCAAATGAAATTGAAGAATTTTTCAGCCCCACTCCCACTTCCGCCTCTAGGAAAGGTAACATTGCATCTTTAGTTTTTTTGACTAGGTTTAGAGTAACATGATTGTAATTATAATATAATTATATCATATTTTGTTCAGCTGCACCAAGAGTGCAATCATCTTTTGGAAACTATGTCGTTAGCCTCCGTAAGCCCACAACAGTGATCCACTCATGCTATGGGCATTTCACCAGTCCCAAGGAGCTGAGTCTTGTCATCTGGTAAGTTAGGGAAGATAGTAAAACAACATTAGTTCACTTTAGTTCCAATAACTTTTTTTTTTTTATCTTTTCAGCAAAGTCTCTCCTGTGTCGATCTATCTCATGACCGAGAATGGATTATATGTACTACTTTGTATATGTTTTCTTTCTTTTTCATTTGATTATCTCATTTTATGAAATTTAGAATCCATTGTATTATTCTGTAGTATGTTACCTCCTGTGGATATTTTTTTTTTCATTCATGTTTTTCTATCTAATGCAGCATCTACGGGAGTTTCCCATATATGAAAGGGTTGTGTTCATGGAGTTATCCCATGTGAATGTGAGTATACTTATTTGTTATCTAAACATTGTTTTTAGGTTGATTACAATGGTTGATGATTTCTAATCTTCTTGCAGCATTTAAGAAAGGATATTCTTTTCATTGCCACAGAATCAGAAAAACTTTGTATGTTTGAATGGGATGTTCAAGCTTCAAATGTGCTTTCACTGTATGCTTTACTAATTGAGTTCCTTATTGAATTTTTCTTTATCTATTATTCTCTTTTAATCCACCAGAAATCACTTTTCTTATTTACCTGGCACTGATACGAAACTATATGTTCCAAATCGGGAAAGGCATGAGATAGAGGATGTATCATATATTCATATGAATACTATGACTTCTGCCAGCTATCTTAAGTTGATTAGTAATGTACGATATATGATGGATTTTATGTTCTAACTCTATTTTGTATCTATCTTTTATATAGGGGGTACAATTTCTGATGGAAAAACAATTGTCTTGTATTCTAGAAAAAACCGGTTGAGGATCGTCGATATCACTGATTCGGGGCAGGGTGATACACGATTTAAAAAGACGTAATTAACCCTTGGCTTGTGTACTCAACTCATGGCTTTTATCGTTAGTTAATACATCTAGACCAGGACTATTATACTTGATTTTGTGATCTTTTTTCAGACTCTCCGGTACAAACATACTGGATGTTTCTGAAAAGCTACCTACGGCCCGGCCTTGCTTTGCTTTATAGGGTACGTTAGTGACCTTTCTGATTTAGATTCACTTATCCTACCTAGTAGTATTTTCAGATTGATTTACTGTTTTGTTGGTAAGTTTATTTACTTATTGATTATACCTTATGCTTTTTACCATCAAATATATTCTTATCTGTAACTTTTACAATCTGATCTTTTTTTCACCCAAAATCTTTGGTTGGGAAACTAATGTATCTATACAAGTATTTTTGAAGTACATTTTAGCGGGTAGGGCAAAATGCATTTAGATACAATGGGTATCCGACCCGTTTACAAATTTTGGTCATAAAAAGTTTGTTGAGTCGAGTTATATTTAATCCAACTCATACACCGGATATTTCATATTTAATAATTTTAATATTTAGAATATTTGATTAAGATTTAGAATTATGATTCTCTTATCATCTTTGTTTGATTTGGATTTAATTATTTTGAATCATCATATAATACATAAAGTAAAAAAATATCAATTTTTTTCTGCATATACTGTGATTCGAAATTTTAGAAACGGAAATATATTATCCAATTGATGAAAAATGTGTGTTCAACGTTCCACATCGACTAAAATATTTAGACAATGATTCAGAATCATATCATAAATAATATCAACATTAATAAAATGAATAGGTTTTTTGGTGGGACGGGTTTGGCGGGACATGTTTTTGAATCAACAATAATAAAAAAATTAAATATCATTAATCCGCCGCTTCAATACGGATTAAATCCTTAATTTTTTTTAATACCACCAATATTAGACATATCAAATCAGTCTCATTTTGAAAAGATTGTATAAAACCAAAAATTGTCCCGTGGTATAATGTTACTTAATAAGTATAATATAAAATATAAATGTCTTAGAGAATGATACAATTTGCAAACTTTTATATATAATAAATAATCGTTAAATTTTTAAAATTACTACTTTTAGAAAACAAATCACGGGACGGGTTAAGAATTACATGACTTGTTATATTTCGGAAGGGGGTTATATGGTGGACGAGTTTGAATCAATATTTATAAAATATTAAATTATCATTAACATACCGCTTTAATACAGATTAAATCCTCAGTTTATTAAAACATAAATGTCTAAAAGAATGATACAATTTGTAAACTTTTATATAGAATAAATAATTATGAAATTTTAAAATCACTACTTTTAGAAAACAAATCACGGGACGGGTTAAGAAATTACGGGACGGGTTCTATTTCGGAACGGGTTTATATGGCGGACGGGTTTAAATCAATATTTATAAAATTTTAAAATATCATTAACATGTCGCTTTAATACGGATTAAATCTTCAGTTTATTAACAATTTTTCCGTGGACTCGTGGTATATCATTACTTAATAACAATTGTAAACTATAAATAGAAATATTTTATAAAGAGATATAATTTGCAAAATTCTATATATACTAATTTTAAAAAATAAATTATCCCGCGGTGTACCGCGTGTGAAAATCTAGTGTTCTACTATCGTAGGGAATTGATGGTAATTTCTTCAGCGGGATATTTGAGATTACAGCTGATGACGTTGTTGCAATAAGATCGTTTCAACTTGATCAGACCATCATGCCTACACTTCTTATTCCGAATCTTTACAGCTATCTTATCATTAGGAAAAAAGGTGTTGTCTATTACGGTGGTAACGAAATCAAAACAAAGTTAATGGGTTTTGTAAGTTATAGACTAGCATTACCTATTTGCATGTAACATCTTGTATGGTTATAGATTTGAACATGGTTCAATTCATAAGAAACAGCTAGTCCTAAGATTGTGCTCCTTGTGTTGATCCTTGCTCTTTGGAAGGAAGCTTTGTAGCCATGGTCCGTAGTTCATTCACGATCTCAGTGAAGCTTGGCCTCTCTGATGGTTCTGCAGACCAACATCTCTCCATCAGTAATTTCCAGTCCATGTCACAGAAGTTGGGAATTGGCGGCCGTAGCGTATTACTAACGATACCACCTGATTTCAATTTTTGGTTAGAATAGAAACAAAGCATACAATCCGGTACACAAGAATTATGGATCAAGGGTTTCACCTATGATCGCCCCGTAGTGCAAGTCGGCATAAGGTTCTTCACCGGTGAAAAGTTCCCAGAGGACAATTCCAAATGAAAACACATCGACCTGTAGCATCCAAATTAAGGCATCCGATAGAGGGGAAAATAACATAATAGAGACAAATAACCAAGCTGAGAAGAGTAGCCTAGTTTAGAAACCTTCTCAGAAACAAGGCTACTGATTCCATTTAGAAGCTCGGGTGCCATCCATGGAAG